GCATTATTGCGCATCTTCTTTCATGCTAAAGGGCGCAAGCCGCGTAACGCCCTTCTGCTTTGAGTAAAATAGATACGCTTCGGCGCGTAAAGCTTGTAAAAGGGCGCAACGCGCATGGTGTAGCCCGGATGGAGCGTGTTGTCATTCAGACTTTCTGAAATAAAAAGCAGAAGCATGCAATTGTTTGTGATGATAAAATATCAAATTTGATTTTTCGTTTGCTTTTGTTTTAGCATTAATTAATAGTATCAGGTTATGCTTTACGGATTTCGCTTCCAATATTTACAAAAAACTCATTAAATTTATCAGCAATTTATTTTAAATCATAATGTATCACGACAATTTATTGATTATTATGCAAGGGTAATTCTTAATGCATTAACCAAGTACATCGCTTATAATATCCAAGGTATTTTTCATGTTTCCTTAAACCTATTTGGAATTTCAAATAGTAATAATTACTTTATGCTGACTTCCGGAATTTATTCCCATGATTTCGAACTCTATTATATTTCCTCTTATTCGTATCTCTATACAAAGAGGTCAATATATTCAAAGAGTAATAGAGTAAAAAATAAAATTACACTGATCACATCACTCTGCCCCATCCTGATATTTATCTTTAATCCTTCACAGAATGCAGGAAATGCATTAATTTGTTACAGAATGCCCTTTATGTCTACAACTGTATACTGTACGTTGTGCTTCATATGTGATTTAAAGGGAAAGTCCACCCTGAAATTAAGTTAGTTTTAATAGGAGTAGAAAAATGAGAGAAACAAGTCAGTGAAAGTTTGAGCAAATTCCGATTAAAAATAAGGAAGTTAGGATTTTTTAAGTTGTGATCAATCAAACACAAATTGGCAACTCTATGACGTATCATGCGAGCTCAACTTCCATTTGCTCAGTACTAAAAAAATCTAAAATTTTCATTTTCCCTCAAGAAAAATTTCAACCATACATGCACCCTAAATATAATAATTGCAAATATGTTTCTATACTCCCCCTGCAAGGAACAAATATATATTCCGTCATCAATAACGAAGAAAACATGATTTTATGGAATATTATGCACAAAGCAAATGAAGGAGAGCTCGTATAATAAGTCACAGAGTTGCCAATTTGTATTTGATTGATCACAACTTCAATAATTCATAACTTTCTTATTTTCATTCAGAATTTGCTCAAATTTTCACTCACCTGATTTTCTCATTATTCTGCCTCTATCGAAACAAACTTATTTTGGGGGTGGACTTTCCCTTTAAGTTTGATTGGATATTGTTGTCAATGATCAAAAGTATATTTGTATACTTTTTTTTTGGGGGGGGGGCACACCAAGCACTATGTACAATTTCTTCTCAATTCTTTCTCTTTCTGTCTCTCTCTCTCATGCAAACAAGAACATCCCCTCACTCTCTCTCTCTCTCTCTATTTCTATCGATCTCTCTGTCTATCTCTCTTTTTCTTTCTCCATTGAACACATCTCATAATCGTTTGTTAGCCCTCTTTTGCAGTTGCGTGTCTATCTTCTTGTCGCATTAGTCATTTCCATTCTAGTACATTACTCTCTCGGACACATTTTTCCCATGAACAAATGTAACTATATAAGAATAAACGCTAAATAGCACAAAGCAATCAAATGTTAAGATGAACAATTCTGTCATGGTTATGACTGAATTTATTTCTTTGCAATATAACTGGAATCCTTTTTGTACAGTTCATTTTACGATTCCATGTACAATCATTCAAAATTGATCAATCATAATGAAGCATGATTAAATATAAAAATTGGAACTTATCTGTAGCACATGCTCATGGCAGAAAGAACAACATGGTAGCTCTCAAAAGAAAGTTTTGTATTCTGCGTTGAATCTGTTCTAGCTCTAGTGAGCTTTTGTAGCATAGTTTTAAAAACTGTGCAGTAAGTTTACAAAAGAGAAAATACTTGAACAATATATCAGCATTATCAAAGGCAAATAAACAAAATTGTATGACAATAAGTGAAACTGTAGCACATGTTCATGGCAGAAATTACAACATGGTAGTTCTTAAAAGAACTTTGTGTATTCTGCAGTTAACGTACTGTGCAGTAAGTTAACATAAGAGAAAATACTTGAACAATATTTCAGCATTATCAAAGGCGATATAAAAAAAAAGTATGACAATAAGTGAAACTGTAGCACACGTTTATGGCAGAAAGTACAACATGGTAGCTCTTAAAAGAACTTTGTGTATTCTGCAGTTAACGTACTGTGCAGTAAGTTAACAAAAGAGAAAATACTTCAAAAATATTTCAGCATTATCAAAGGCGATACAAAAAAGTATGACAATAAGTGAAACTGTAGCAGCTGTTGGGATCTGCAATACGTTTCCTGGCTCTCTTATTCTGTATTAGAATAAAAAATATAAAAGTGGTGGACAAAATATTAGTTTAACATATTCATGCTTTGAACTGTACAGAGTGCAAAATTCTATAAAAGTAAAAGTACTGGTGAAGGATGAAGGAGTCAACACTGCAGCAAGTCAATGTAAATGACTGTAACCTTGCAATCTGACTGGCATGCTTCTCTCCTTTTGCTTCTCCTCTCTTGCCTTGATTTAATGAACCAATACATTCACTTTCTCCCCTACCCCACCTTTAAACCCAGCCATCATCAAGAAATAAGGGAGTGAAAGAGAGAGAGAGAGAAAGAGAGATGGGAGGAGAAAGAAGAGAATTGCAGTACGTCTGCATGGTCATTTATCCCAGAACCCCTCCATCAGAGGGAAGCAGAGCAATTATTCCATTTACTCTGTCTAAAGAGATGTACACCAGCCATTTTCTGGTACAACAAAAATACATTTATCTTTTTCAAAGAAAATTCTCCACTCCCTGGGCAGAATTTGTAACAGGCAACCATTTTAAAGCTTCAGACTTTTACCTCACATTGTTCAGGACGTTCTCCAATATCTCTGTGTAGAAGCCACTCTCTGTAAAGTACACAAGAATAAACTTTCTGACATAGAAATGTAAAACCCATTTTTGAAGTAAATATTGTAGGAGAAATAAATGGTTCAAAAGTTAGCTTAAGAGGTTGTTGTTTTGATTAATGAATATTGTAGAGGTGTCTGCAACAGCATAATTCCAACAAACTGACTTATAATTCCTAAAGACAATGCCCACTGTAAACTACAAACTCAAATTGGTGACATTTGAGACATTAATATTTTTCAGTACTACCTTCACTGTCTGCTTGGATAACTTGAAACTATGTCAACTGTCTCCTGCACTTTGATTGCTAAGGGAACAACCGTCATCAATTCCAGAACTGTGTCGATCGCTGGATGATCTTCTGAAAACCTCTCCGGAATTTGAAGTAGATGCTATGGTAGTAAAAATATGTAAAGCCAGGAATAATATTATAAAGAGAGCACTGTAATATTTTGTAATATAGTTAGCATGATACCTTCATCTTTCAGCTTTGCCGCAGTCAAAACTTAAATATACCGGTACCCATAACCAGGGGAGTGCCACTTACATTCTTTTTTGAGAACTTTTTGAACATATCCTGAAATTGTCATGGCAGCAATGACTTTAAAGTTAACGGTTTTATTGTTTTTGTGATTTTAAACAATTATCAGGGGGGGGGGGCAGATACTTTTAACTATTGCAACATCTTCAAAAAATGCAAGCAAACTAGCAGAAACAGCTTAAGGAATAATGTAACAATTATCATGGATTTATAACTTCTTTTTGACCATATCAATACTGTATAAGGGCTTTACGATAATTTATAAGGCATTTTTAGTGAAATCAACATAACGCTAGTTTAACTTACAGCATAGTTATTGTGGTTTGCACATGGTTCGTCCTCTTTGAAGTGGTGTTCACACAGGGAAACAAGACACCGGGAGCATGTAGATGTACTAAACACTTCATGTAAACATATGAAATGTTGACACATTTGAACTTCAATGAGGCATGTCTATGAATAAAAAGAGAACGTTACAAAAATATAGAAAACAAAGAAAAACTTGAATATCACTTCATCAACTATCTCAGTCTGGTTTATTAATAGGACTAAATAACTAATATCATCGGTGGGGTGACAAAACCTTGTATCTCAAAAATCATGAATTTTCAGGAGAACGAAAAAACTTTCCTGTCTCAACAAATTTATTGCTGTGACACCGTCTTTTCTTTTTAAAACTGGAATATTTATACAATTTGTAATGTCATTGTTGAAATACAGTAAAATAATAGGTTTTATATTTAAAAGTGAGTTACAAGGTTTTTGCGTTTATCTACATTGAGATACAAGTTTTTAGTTTTTATTCAAATTGAGATACGAGTTCTTACTTTCAACTCTGAATGAGTTACGAGTATTTGGTTGAATAAGTTGCGAGGATTTGAATACACTAACTTTGGTACTGTTAGGCCGTGTGTGAGTTACGAGAAAAAGGGATTACGTATCTTATGTTACGAGGTTTTGTCAGTGCAGCTTCAAAGGGGGTTAAAGTTACGAGGTTTAGTTTAAGGGTGTTTGTGTGGAATTTGTAAAAAAACAGAGAAGGCGTTCCATGGATTTATCAGGTGGTGTCGTAGGCCATTAGGTACACAAATTGAGATACAAGGTTTTGTCACCCCACTGACGATATATTTAACTTTACTAAATTGAAAATTTGATGAAAACTTTTTTCAAAAATGACACTTACTGCATATGAATAAAAGCTAACAATGATCATCAAATAATTTTGGAAAGTATGTAAGCCAACAATGTTTCTTCGTGACATTACTTTTCATTGCTTTACATCTCCATCATAAAGCCTACCGACACTCTGTTGATCTCGTATAGGTCCATGATGTACAATGAAAATTGTTCAGAAATATTCATTTAGAAATCATGATACTGTATAGCATTTCAGTTCAATGATTGCTGTCATATTGTTATCAAACCAAACAGAATAGTATGTAGGCCAACACTGTTTCATCAATAGTATCATACATTACCTGTCATTGTGACCGGACATCTCCAACGTCAAGCCTTGGTTGATCTGGTAGAGGTCCATGGTCTACAATGAAAATAATTCAGAAATATTCATTTAGAAATCATGATACTGTCAGGGGCGTCGCTAGACCTTCTTCAGTGGGGGGGGGGGGGGGGTGTAGAGGCCAACGATTACCGACAAAACTAGCCACCAATTACCGACAAAATTAAATGTCCCAATATCTACAAATTTAACCCTATAAACCTGGGGTCAAAATCTAAATTGTTTTTCATATGAACTATCTATAGTACTTGTGTATGCGCAAATGGTCATTTTCATCGACGACATAAATATACGAATTATTTCGTCAACTAATTCGGTGGTCACATCCCGCCGTACTTGCAAGTGCATGCTGTCTACGTGCAAAAAACGTGTGCAAAATTTGGGTATCGGTACGTGGTGAGTACCGCCTCCGTACGGATTTGGGAGCACGCAGACACACCGTAGCACTTTTTAGGGAGGGGCGGTAGTGGGCAAGCGTATCATTTTTAATTGGGGGTGGGTGATACGCCTTAGAAAGCTTAGACGTTTCCTTAAATTATTAAGAAAATATGACTATTTATTGTACCATCCTCGACTGTTAATCTGTGTCTGAATTCAGTTTCTCCACCTTCCGCGGAAGCTTTGACGTTTCATTAAATTATGAGAAAAGCAGACGATTCGGTGTACTGTTCTCGACTCTTAATCCTTATCTGAATTCAGTTCTCCCCCTCCCGCGCGAAGCGCCGAAATTTTGATGTTTCATTTAATTATTAGAGAAAGTAGACGATTCGTTGATATGCTCGACTCTTAATCCTTGTTTGAATGAAGTTTCCCCCGCTCGCGTGAAGCTTGGTAGTTTTGAAGTTTCATTAAATTATTAGAGAAAGAAGACGAATAGTTGGGCGTTTTTTACTCTTAATAAGCCCTAATTGTCTGAATTCAGTTTCCTCCTTTAACGCGAAGCGCGAAAGCTTTGAAATTTCCTTAAATTAATAGAGAAAGCAGACGATTTGTTGTACCCGGCGTTTGCGACTCTTAATCCTTATCTGAATTCAGTTTCCTCCTTTAACGCGAAGCGCGAAAGCTTAGACGTTCCCTTAAATTATTCGAGAAAACAGACGATTAGTTGTACCGTTTTCGACTCTTAATAAGCCCTATTTGTCTGAATTCAGTTTCCCCCTCTCGCGCAAAGCGCGGAAGCTTTGAAGTTTCCTTTAATTTTTAGAGAAAGCAGATGATTTGTTGTACCGTTTTCTACTCTTTATAAGCCCTATTTGTCTGAATTCAGTTTCCCACTCTCGCGCGAAGCGCGGAAGCTTTGACATTTCCTTAAAGACCGTCAATACTACTGGGCCAGAAGGGATTAGACCACACAGCGAGGTCACTTAGAGGTGGCTATTTCATTAACTCTCAACTAACATAAGAAAAAGAGGATCATGGGGGACCAACAGGCACCGATTGGGGAAGTTTTCTATAAAGAGGGAGCAAGTAGCTACAGGTAGGACAGTGGGGCTTTACATTATTAGATAAAGCAGACAATTTGTTGTACCGTTCACGACTCTCAACCCTAATTTGTCTGAAATCAGTTTCCCTCCTCCTGCGCTTTCGCGCGGAAGTTTTGACGTTTCCTTAAATTATGAGAAAAGCAGACGATTCGTTGTACTATTCTCGACTCTTAATCCTTTTCTAAATTTGGTTGTCCCCCCTCCCGCGCAAATCGCGGAAGCTTAGACGTTTCCTTAAATTATTAGATAAAGAGGACGATTCGTTCTACCGTTCTCGACTTGTCTAAATTAAGTTTTCCCTCTCGCGCAAAGCGCGGAATTTTTGGCGTTTCATCAAAATATAGAGAAAGGAAGACGATTCGTTGTACTATTGCTGACTCTTTATCCTTGTTTGAATTTAGTTTCCCCGAAAATTTTAAACCTCTGATTTCTTTAGCTGATATTATAGGAAAGTGAACTTCTAGAAAATACAAGTTTTGTAGTCGTAGTCACTCTCGAAGTCATCGCAGCGGATAAAAAGTCACATTTCGTAGAGAAAAAAACTTGTAGCCGACCGACAATATAAACCTCACCGACTTCAAACTTCTGCATTGATATAGTACACGAGGATCGAGCAAGAATACCGACACAGCTGACCCGACACAGTAACATATTTACTCATGTCTTTCTTGCTCCCTCGACGAGACGACTCCACCCAACAACCCCCTCTTTCTTTTACTCCCACTCCTCCTCTCTCAGGCTCTTATCTCCCCTCTCTCCTCTCTTTCACCTGTGTTTCTTTTGTTTCCCCTTTTTTGTTTGTTTCTGTCTTCTCCTTCTTTACTCTTTTTTCCTCTCCTCCCTCTTTTTCTTTTTTCTCTTTCTTTCTTCTCTTTTTTTCCCTTTCTTTCCTCTCTTTTCCTTTTCTTGTTTTTCTTTTCTTTCCCTCACTTTTTTCCCCTCCCACTTTTCTCTTTTTTCACGAGGGCAGCGCAATTTTACCGACAATATCCTGACAGGTGGGGGGGGGGGGTGTCGCGTCCCCCCCCCCTTTGGGGACGCCCCTGGATACTGTATAGCATTTCAGTTCAATGATTGCTGTCATATTGTTATCAAACCAAAAAGAATAGTATGTAGGCCAACACTGTTTCATCAATAGTATCATACATTACCTGTCATTCTGACACCGACACCGACATCTCCAACGTCAAGCCTTGGTTGATCTGGTATGCTGTCATCATCACTTTCCTCAGACTCATCATCCACTGACAGGACAACTCCCTCCCATCTCCTGCCTTTCCAAGGCATGAAGACTTTTGTCCCTTTTATTGGAATACAGGGACATTGAATCTATCTCCATACACTACCACGTTTTTTGGAGCCATCTTTTTTCCACTGAACAAGCAATTCTCTTGTTGGCTCCATGCTGCAGCCTACCTGTGCAAATCCTGACAAAGTGAGGGAAACAAAAGGGTTACATTAATTTGACTGAAAGTAGATCTAATCCAACTTACAAGCTACTTTACAATTGACCGTCCCCAATACTTGTAGCGGAAAGTAGAAACTTGAGTTCTAGACATGCAACTATCATTTGAGATTGCCCTTGATTAAATTTGAACAAAGCCACTAAAAGACAAAGGTATCAAAATTCAAACCATTCTCCTTTCATATCTGTAGACTACTATCATTTTTGCAAATTTAATTTGAACAATAAAAAGTATTAGACCTCTAGAGTCTAGAATCTGCTTGCACTGTTGCAATTGGTATAATAATACCTGAATACGATATACTAATAACAATCTGGCATTTATTTAACTAATTTTGTAGATCTACGCTAAGCATGCTTTCAAATTTCAATCCGTACCACTGTCTTTACAAATTGTTGTCTTGTCTCGTCTTTCCATGAGCGAAAAAACAGTGAAATGATTATCACGGCACATAGATCTATAGATTGACGACTACTCCTACATACTGTACATGTATCTTGACCTAACTGAACAACCTCACACAAACAACATCACATCCCGCACCCAACTCTACCGGAACTGACGTTTTCCCTCGGGACAGCTAGTAACTGCGTGGAACGCACTTTCGAAAATCACCCTTGACTTGGGGCTTGATGCTAGTTGCTAGACCTAGATCTACTTCATATTTGGAGGCCTTCAACTTCAAGGGAGCGCTTCCATTGCAACCCACTCCAGCAAAGCATAGAGTCAATGCCACTCAACATCCACCCCAGCACAGAGAGTCAATGATAATGCGTAATGACTCTACTTGCCCGTGATACCATATAAATCAATACATGGGGCAACGTATTAATTATCATCATTATACATCGCATTTTTACCCGATAAAATCAAAATATTCTAAAGACCTTATCAGAATGTAATCAGTGTAACCAAATATATCAAATCTTCCAGATAATTTGACATTTACAACACGTTATTTAAAAGAAGAAGCAGTTATTTTGCTTACCACAGGCCTAGCAGACGTCAGCTTCGCGATAACGCCCTTCTGCTTTGATCAAAATTTACGCTCGCGCCTAATATGCAAAGGGCGTAGAGGGCTTACGCCCTTCTGCTTAGCGCGATATCTGACAGTTTGTGCTAACGCCCTTTTACTATTGTCGATTACGTAATCATTTACTTCGTTTTATGCCATCTCGATCACATCATTTGAAAGAGCTTTGAAAACTCTATTAAATGACATGAAATATCAAAAATCGATTTTTGACCTGAAATTCGAGCTAACGCCCTTCTGCCAGCCGTGCGACGAATTATCACATTCATGATTATATTCATAATCAAAATCACAACCACCAACACAATCATAAAATGGATCAAACCCTTCAGCATATAAAATAGGCCTATTATAGATATGAATTATTCTTCTTTAGTTCCATGGATGAAGACAAGTTGAAATTAAAGTACTGAATACATACAGTTAACATCTAAATCATTCATACCCTTAACAAGTTTTGTAATTGTTGAAGTATGTGAAAGAATGATTTGTCCCATTGTTTGTTTCTTGATAATGTAACATATAGCTTACATCTGCAAGTACTTAACAAGGGGTATGAGTAATTTAGATGTTAACAGTAAAATGGGATTTTTGCATAAATTTCAGACTATGGGTGGAACTTGTAAAAAACAGTTCATCCAGGTAGTTGTATCTACACATGAATCCCTGTCACATAAACAACTTGTTCACATCCAATTTTGAGGATTTTAATCCGCACAAGTGGGTATTACAAGAAATTTGAGCCTCTGAACATCTCCCTTCAGAATATAATCTATATATACCTGGGGAGGGGGAAATTCATGGGCAGTCGATCAATGCAAATGTATACAGCTCTTTCCAATCCGATCCGGGCATTTTTAGAGCGATGATATCTAGTTGCCTACTTCCAAAGCTCTTTAATTTACCTTTTGCATGGAATTGATCAGGTGTTACACTTGATCTGTCATATGGTCACTTTTTTTAATACTTTTTTATTTTTATTTTAGCCTTTAAAGATACTATGTCCCTTTTGCAGCCAACATCAAATTCTGTAGTGCTTTGCAGGAATTATGAATATGTCATGTATATGTCCTATCTGTGAAATTTAAATGTTAGCATGTCCTAAGGGACATAGTACCTTTAACATGAATGGCTTAAATAAGCCACTTCGGAAATACTATCAGCGCATGGGCAGATAAAGGTAATTTGTACAAAACTGTATAACCCATCAAGATGACTGCTGGATAGGTGTTCATGACAGTTTCGAATCATTATTCATTTATGCACCGGCGGTACATTCTATGATACACAGGTGGAAGTATTCCTTTCACGATAGTGCACAAAAGGTATTCATGAAGCACTTCCATCACTTTGGCAATGATTATTCTAAAATGCACAAAGTGGGACGCCTCCATGCGTAAAAGATCTGTGGATATCTTGGGGGCATTTGCACAAGTGCAATCTTCGAGGTGGCTTATGAGAATAAGTGAAATATATTTGGCATTTTACAGGGCTCCACACAAAATTTTGTCATTGGCGGTCTGGGTAGAAAAATTGGGTTCCCGGGTGCCTGGTAGTGTTGAGCCCCGCATAATATTATCTACACTGTATTTCAATGTATGCATAAAACATTCTTCAAAATGTACCAGCAATTACATCACGGAACAATTATATTTTCTACTTCAGAAGACATTTGTTATGCAAAAACGAGATTCATAAAGGTTCATTTTTGTGCTTTTTGTTTAATTGAATTGATATGATAAATAGATGTACATCTGTTCATCACCAGAAGGGCAGTAACTCTGTGTTTATTCATATATGAGTTAACTCCCTTCTGGTTCTAAACAAGATGAAATATCCATCATGATAAATCTGTTTTTTGCATATATTTTCCATATCCATGTTCATTTTCACAAGTTACTATACATTTGAGTTCTCTACATATTCAAGGAGTCTTCTAGAAAACAGGAAGGTAACAGCTACATCGATATGACCTCTTTGATAAACCTTTCTCAATATATGCTAGGATACCTGGGAAATTCTACTACAGATTTAGATAGCTTCCTTTAAAATACTGACAAGCTCAAACAAGAATTAGAAGAGATATACATCAAAGACACTTACCATCTTTCTTGTAAAATGTAATCTCTACCTGACTCTCCTCCCCTCTCTCAAGGGCGTTTTTGATCTGAGTAATTCCTTCCTCGCTCGTGTTTTCCCCGTAAAGAAATTCACAACAGCACGATTTTTGCATGAGCTCGGCTCGGGAGAATGAGGTGAGCTCCCCAAAGCCATCGTTGCAAAAGATAATGGCACACCCCTCCACCTGTGCATTTCCTATGATAAAATTACGATCTGTTTTGGGGAAAAGAAAAAGATAAAAAAAGTCATGAATGCTCTTAAAAGGACATTATTTTTTGCCCTTGTCTTGAATTGTGTTTCCTCCTTTATCAAAGTGTTATAAGGAAGATGAGGAAGAGAAATGTATGGATAAAAAGAGCCAAATTTATGGATAAAATGAGCCAAATTTATGAATAAAATGAGTCAATTTCATGAACACTTTTATTATGAAAACATTACATTGCATTGCTTTAAAAGTTTTTCCTCTTTTATCACAATGAAATGGATACAAAAAACAATGAAATTAAGAGTTGCTGTCTGTCTGTGAAAAAAAACTGTTTGAGGGATACTACAACAATGCTACATTCGAGATGATATCATAATATCAGCCATCTCCATACTAGGGCTTCACAGATAAAATACCAATTAATCAAGTACAATTAGTTTAAATAGAAATTCTTGAAACTTTCAGGTGACAGACAAACATTCACAATAGCTCTTTGAAAAACCAAATCCACCACTCCCCTTTTTGTTGTGAAAACAACTGTTTGAGGGATACAACAACATTGATGCATTCTAGATGACATTAAAAACATTAGCCATCTAGGCAGGGCTTCGCTGAGAATTAATCAATTAAGTATAACTGTTTAAATAGTAATCCTGAAAACTTTCAAGTGACAGACAAACATTTAAAAATGCTCTTTGAATGACTAAATTCCACCACCCCTCAACATGTTTACTTCATTTTCATTGTGAAGAAGAATATCTCTGCTTTTATTCAGAAAAGCTGGGTTTTGTGCGTCAGCACTTTTTCTTCTTCTTCTGGTCAGTTGTGGGCTTTTAATTCTAGACTAAAGAGACACCACTGAGTATGTAGCCTCAATCAGTAATGCTTTAAAACACAATTGGGAATTACTATTCTTCCATTTTTCCCTTTTCCCTCACATACAAAACTAAGAATATATCGCTTAAATTCAACCTCTTCACATTTGTTTCCTTCCTTCTTTACTCCTTTAAAAATCTCTTCTTCACCCATCACTTTTTGTTCTTTCTCTCCCTCCAATTCCCTTTTCCCTCTGTGTTCTGATTCCTTGAACTTCTGCCATCCCTCATCTTCTTCTCCTCTTTCTTCTCCTCCTCGCCCCCTCCTTCTTTTTTCCTTCTTTGCATATTTTCCTTCCATTCCTTTCTTCTTCTTCTTCTTTCCTCTTCTTCTTCTCCTTCTCCTTCTCCTTCTTCTTCTTCTTCTTCTTCTCCTCCTCCTCCTCCTCCTCCTTCTTCTTCTTCTTCTTCTTCTTCTTCTTCTTCTTCTTCTTCTTCTTCTTCTTCTTCTTCTTCTTCTTCTTCTTCTTCTTCTTCTTCTTCTTCTTCTTCTTCTTCTTCTTCTTCTTCTTCTTCTTCTTCTTCTTCTTCTTCTTTTTCTCTTCCTTTCAAATATCAATCTAGGCCCAAAATTTAGACCATGAAATGATAAATGTATCTTCGCCTATAAACTATAACCGTGGCCGTGGTTAGACATACAATATTTTCTGAGGCAAAAATGCTGTTAACTTGGAAAAGAGACAGAAAACAGTACTGTTAAAGATGAGAAACAAATCAAAGGATTTCTTTTTTTAAACAAAAAATACGGCCAGCTATACACGACACTAGCCGATAGCCTCAAATGACAGCCATTAACCGGGCGTCCACTGGCTAAATGAACGAGAGTGCTCGCTCCAGTAAAATTACCAGCAGTGTTAAGTGAAATGAAAACCAACAAAAATCGGGCAATAATCTACTCACTTTGTCCGTCAAATTTCCTTATGATGGTATCAATGAAAGTATTCTGTGGGGCTACATGGCCCCTCCGTACAGGCATGCTAACAAGAACTCATCCGCGGAACATTTTCACTGAGAAATCCGTTGTAAAAATCCAAAAATAATGGTCCCCGAAAGTTTGGTATCGACTGTAGATCATAAGGAGCGCGGTCGTCTGCTAGCGGACAACGCACCAAAACCACATTTGTTTACATGTACACGCGACAGCACAGCTCTGCGTGAGATGCGATCCGACGGAGGCGGCTCGGCGTTCGGAGATCTATCAGAGGCGTACCCATGCGGTGCGAACGATCTCTTTTGTTCTCGACTCGGATCTAGAGGAAACCGTTTTGTTTAGAGGTATAGCGCCAGCTACGGAAAGAGATATGTAACTGAATCCACCCTTTTTCGACTTCGAAACATCATACCGTTACATTATTTTGATAAAATGTATTGAATAACATTGTTTTGAAGAGAAAGACTGAAACTTGACGAAGAAGAAGAAAAGAAGAGAAAAAACAAGAAATAAAAGGTTCTACAGAAAAGAAAAAACAGAACAGAAATGGAACATTTTAAATGAAATAGGAAGAGGAGGAGGAGAAAAGGAGGAAGAAAGAAGACTAAAAATATTGAGATGGAAAATCCTCTTTGAGGGGGGGGGGGGGGGGGAACGTGAGCAGGGGTGGATAAAGAGCGGGAAAGGGGTAAAGGACAGGGTATATACTATACGAATAAGAAGCCGCTTATTGGAGCAGCAGGTTTATATAGAGAACTTTGATAATCTAACTTTCAGGCGTTTTAATCATTCATTCCTGTCAGCAGTAACTCACTATGATAAAGTTCTTTTACAAAAAGCCCGTTGACGTCACAATCGGAAATGATCGATTTCAATCATCAATCCATCTGCTGTTTGTACCTTTGCTGATAGATATACCTTCACTTTAATCATTAAGTTCCCTTTTTCCTGAATGATGTTCGAGAAATGTTTCTAGAATGATAATCCTATTTCCCCAAAGAATTCTCAATATTACATGATAATCTAAGTGAACATTAATCGAAACGATCGAATCCCCCGACCCCGCGGGAGCGCTATCTCTCCCTCTCTCTCACCTCTCTCTGTTTTTTCCCCTCTCTCTTTCTCTCTCTCTCTCTCTATAGTTTTCCTCTCTTCCACAAACCCTCTTCGCTTCACTTGCTCGAACAAACTACTTAAATTTTACTGAAGATGTCGGTCACAACATCTATTTACTTTAAAGTGACTCGGTAACATTGTTGAAGGTATGAAAAAACTGCGGAAGTTTTGTATGAAAATTAATGTTACTTATTATATTCCTTCTACTGTATAACCCTCTTACATGCAACAAAATCCTGAAAAATTCTCAAACCACAAAGATATTTATGATTTTCCTTGAAGGCGTCACTAGTATATGCAACACCTATACTCCTAACCATTTTGAATTTTCCCAACCGTTTTTCCATGAAAATCAAATTTAAGACAAGCTTTGAAAAATCTTTCAACATTGTCTGGAATGGTATAGAGCCAATTCATTGCTTTGTGACGATTTACATTCACTTAAAATGTAATTAAATTGTAATAATATGGTTGGGAGAATTAATGAATCGATCAGATCAGTTTTTCCCAATTTTAATCATTAATAATGGTCTGTTTTCACTCAAACTTTCAGATTATGATCTTGAATTGTACATTTAGCATTGAAGTGCACTACCTTAGCACCATTTTCTCTCATTTGAACAATGTTACCAAGTCCCTTCAATTTGTCCGCTTAGCTTTGTCGGAATTTCGTTGGTCACATAACAGTGCGATATTTTAAGACAATAATATTTTATAGTGAAAACCAGTGCTCAACTGTTCTAAATTCACTCGCTTTACTCCCCAGGAAAGTCATATTTATTTATACTTAAACAAAACAAAAAACCTAAGGAAGAAACAAATGTCGTCTCCGATTGAAACGGATGACATTTCGTTTATTCCTTGTTCTTTTTTAAAAGAAAGTGGCAAAATCTATTGACACTATACCAATTAACTGAAACGCTCTTAATGTTGAACTCAACTTCAGATTATTTCAATTCAAATAAAAAGATAAATTAGCCTAAGTACATACCAATACATAGGCCTAAAAGTTTCTTCCTACATACGCAATTATGAGTAGCTCATAAATTATATCCCCCCCCCCCCGCGTAAAAAAAGAAAATAGCATTACGCCACTGGTCAAAACAGTAAACAGTTCCCTTAATTGGTAAAGGAAAATAGTGTTGAGATGAGCATGGGCCCTATATGGAATAGCTGAGAGAGGGAACTTAAGTAATTTTGGTACATAATAATTATAATCAAAAACACGAGAATGAAAATAAAGAGACACGAAAAGGCATAAAACGACAAGACAATTATTAAACCCTTAACATAATATGGACCCCTCGATCTTAAGTTGAGATTTAAAACGTGAAGATTTCCTTTTTTTCATTGGTGTGATTTCACTTGGTACATTGGATGTCATATCACTTTTGACTAGCGGTTTGTATCTTATACGTGAAAGAAGTAGGCTACGTTTTTCCGGAGGTTTATCCCGGAGGTTTATCAACATCACATGCGTATAGGAACCTTCAATTTGTTTTGTTTTGAAGGTGGCAATAATGATAGGCACAAATGGAAATCACAGAAAAATTAAAATTCTTGAATAAATCTGGCGTTGATTTTCTCTCTCGAAAGTGTAGGGTGTGATTGAAATGAAGAAAATAATGACCCCAAAGTGGGGGCATTTTGGGGGATTTTGCAGCATAAAATCGTACCTAATTCTTATGGACTTTTTGCAAAAAAGTTACCCATTAGAGCGGCACATCACCGTATATCGTATTATGTCAATACATCTCAGATTTAAAATATATTCCAAACTTAACAATAATTAGTACCAGACTTTCAAAATCTAAATGATGATGAGAAATTTAAACTAATGATGTGCGATGACGAAACCGACATAAATGCAACAATAATAGTTTGAATAAGCGAAATGTATGACAAACGAATAGAACTACTGTATGAAAACTAATAAATCAACGTAAACATAGTACATTACACCCCCCTTTCTCCACTTTATTATTATTTATTTATTTGTAAATAAATAAATACATATTATGTATATTGTGTATGTATGTATAAATATATACAAAGTTCAAGTATTGTTTTTTTTTTGTACGACGTAAGTACCTCTTTCATTTACATTAGGGACTTTTAGATTTGCGTGGACTGATACGTGTGACGTCCATTCAACGCAGTGCATTAAAAGGACGTCGACCGTAGCAATCCACATTGTCTTCGTGCAAATCTAAAAGTCCCTATTGCTGTTATCTTTATACTATTATGTGATAGAAATACGACCATATGAGAAATTAGTAGATCATTGATTGTTTTTTTTACCATTATCATTAATCTCGATAGGCCTATATAATAAAGTTTTTTGTAAATTAAAGTATTATTTATTCCGATGCTCACTGTCTCCCACGAGTTTGGAATAGGAATAGGATCGAGTTTCCGGGATCATCTAAATTTGGTAATCATAAAAAACATATTTACCGTGTGAGTCAAATTTTGCTAATTATTTTTAAAATCATATGAAAGAGTGTTTAATCCCAAATCATTTAGCCTCATTTTGGAGTGCCTATAGAGTGTTCACGCTTCCTGTTCATTCCAGCGTTAACACATACCACACAGAAATGATACTAAAATGATTTGGGATAAAACACTCTTTTATATTAAGATGTAGGCCTATTATAATTTACTGTTCATATTTAAATAATTAGCGATTTTCTAGGTTTAAACTTATTTGTTTTACTAACACTGTATACGAGGGCCTATTGTCTTATCATGTTGCATATTATATTTACATATCTTTCCCTTTTTATTTGAAAAAGGGGAAAAATTGTATGAAGTATCACAAGTAAAATAATTTATTATCATCCCTGTATTTATATTTCAGGTGAGACATGAGTATGTTAATTTGTGTTTTTCCTTATACTCTTATACTCAATAATTCGTCGCTGTTTTCACGAAGTGACGGTAGTGAAAAAAAAAATGCATTCACTTTGCATTACGATTTTCCTCACTACCGTCACTTCGTGAAAACAAGGACGAATTATCTATGTTCAACATAATTTTGAAATTAGTTTAATATCCAATGTATACAAAAACTGAGAATGATAAAGCTTTAATTTGAATTGAATTTGGATACAGTATAGCGAGTACCCCCACCCTCCCCCTTCCCCCCACCCCCTTCCCCCCACCCCCCTTCCCCCCACCCAACCCAGGGTAAAAAAACGAATTTCCGGTCTTACCGTCCCATCATTCACGTGGTGATTGTTGACATGTTTTGGCGCGCCTCAATACACAGCTGAGCAATTCCGCGCGAATCGCGAATGTCCGTACGTGTTCAATGCACGACGATCGCACAGCTCCGCAGCACTGATCCGAAAGAAGTCTACCACCACGTTCATCATAGTTTGTTTGCATGTGATAACGTGCCCGGTAAAACAGCCTGCATTGCTGCATAAATTAATCCAGTTAAGGTGCAGTTGATACGGCAAGCTGGCAAGCAAGATTCTGATATTCAGCTCAGGCAAAAGATTTAAGGCAGGTGAGAATTTCTACAGTTATTTGTTTGTGTTTTATGTTTATAGACCCTACTCTTTGATTTGATGATCACCAGCGACTGTAATCTTGCTTTCAAAAAAAATTATTTAGGCATCTGCCAGTGAGCTCGAAATTCGTCGGCATGCTCAATTTTCAATCATGTCAATAACTTCTCTGCCATGTTTGTTAGAAATTATTTGTTGAAGACCCCCTTACACATGACATGTCAAGACTGATTCCATCACCGATCCGGTACTAGATTTGTCGAGAGTCTAACTTGGTATGACACTGACCATGATGACTTGACAGTTTGATATGATTAGATTTTCATTTTTTGATGAAGTGGACCTAAATAGAAGAACATGATGGAATCGCCCTATGTATCTAGGTCTAGCATGCCATGAGAGTGTGTGTGGAAAGTGTGATTGTAATATTACTAATAATTTCCCCCCTTGTGGATGCATGATTGCAATGACTTTACGATCTAAAGTAATTAAGTTAAGGATCTTCCAATTTCTATTGTGTACGACTTCAAGTCAAGTATTTTTGTCTTTACCTTTTGCCAATTCTTCTTGTCCAGACTTCTCCTCTGCAGCTCGCTGTGAGAGGGCGATATGGTAAATGCTGGTGTTCTTAATCCAGCCACGCATAGGGATAAATCTGTGAATGCTTCAACCTTACATGTACTTGTAGATCTACATGTACCGTACACCTTATCTCGAGTTTTAAAGAATTGTCTACAAGTACAAGTACAAACTGAGGAATCCTTATTAATAGGGTGTCTGAACGATTTTTCAATTTTCAATTTGGGATCGTTTTTCACCATTTTTGTTTGATATTTGAATAAAAAATGTTATCAGAATAATATATTTCAAATTTCATGTCTCACCGATGTTTCTATCAAAAGTTACAGCCCCTCCAAAACGCTGGTATATTCATATCATTTTGGTCAAAATCGACGAAAAAGACGTCCACGCAGAGTGATGTTGTTTTGCTAAATTCAGACAAACAGCTGTATCGCGCAATATGCAAGCGTATGCATATAGTACGCATGTTGCTAAGCCAATGCGCGACTTGCAGCTTGAGCCACGCTGTCTCCGCGATATGTGCCATTGACTAGTATGGGTGGCCGTTCGCGGCATAGAACCCGGAAGTGAATACACGTTGTAGTCAATGGCAATATCGCGGGGACAACGTGCAATATCGCGGAGACAACATGCGTTGTCTCCGCGATATTGCCATTGACTACAACGTGTATTCACTTCCGGGTTCTATGCCGCGAACGGCCACCCATACTTTCATTCACTATAATGTGTAATTGAATTTGGGTTTTTTTTCGTACACGGAGATGTTACGCGATGTAACCATGGTTTGGACTGAGCGGAGCGCACGCACCCTAATTAGCTGATCCACCAAATAGCGAGAAGGGTATTTTTAAACTGTTATCAGTTGTGATCCCTGGGGGCTAGCGAAAATATAAGCACATAGAATTGTTCCTTAGGACTGGGACTACTTAACGATCGGGGCGTCATATCTCAAAAGTGACAAACCTCAGAGTTAGCCAGGACACAATGTTTAAATTGCTGTTTTGACCAAGATATTTGTAGAATTTCGGGGGCTACGCCCCTTTGGAAATATTGGAATTCACCTGCTCTTTCATATGACAACTCATTTATTGAGTATCACCTTCAGGATCACAACAGATAAAGGTTTGAATCTCAAATTGAAAAAAAAAAATTGACTTTTTTTGCACGTAGGCTGCATAGGGATGCGTGTAATCTCTATGGGAAGAATTTTAGCACACAACATCGGGTGCGCGATCAGACACCCTATTATTAATTTTCCCACCCTCTTTGTTCATGCTTTTCTCATTCAGATCTTCAAAGCTGTTCACACGTTGCAACATGGTACAGACCCTATAATTCACAACTTCTGTCACATCTCGGCTTCATCTGCGTCAATCTGATGTGGAGATAATCAACATGATGGTGACGGCTGCCATGGATGTAGGCGAAGAGGTTTCGTCGTTTCAGACCGTCATGAGCAAGCTCCAGGGAAAGCAAGATGGCGGGGCAAGCGAGGGCGGGGCAAGCGAGGACAGGGCCGGTGCTTATGATGCGATATCCAAGTAAGACGCTGAATAATTAGGTTTTAACCTGGGCCCCATTTCACAAAACTTGTCATCAGTGACAAATGACAGTTTTTGGTATAAGATAGTGAAATCCTTGCTTCTGATTGGTTATTAGCAGATGTGTCACTGATTTTTGTCATTTGTCATTGAAAAAAGGCTTTGTGAAATGGGTCCCTGGTTTAGCATAAAAATGAAATTATGATAAAATTTAAAGTCAGCTGAAACACAATATATTTTTTTTGAGTTGTGTCATAAAAGTATGATCGGCTCAGGGATCTAAAAATATCAAAGAGAAGTAAGGAATCCTTTTATTTTTTGTGTAAAGTAAGAAACATACAATTGTGTATATTTCTGGATTTACATGTACATTTGTTTTGGGTATGAATCATAAATTACTGGAAGCCTGAGACTTCCAACGCGATCTTTGGTCGACATTTACATGTATTAACTTTATATTTTTAGGATGAATGAAAAAGAAATGGAAATATAAGTTGTTAGATAGGACAAGCCATAAATTTTGTCCTACTTAGCAACATGTAAGGTATATGTAATTCAGAGTTTGACTATTCAAATACAATTATCCGTAGCGGGTCGTTGAAATAATTTTTAACATTCTTAACAAAGATTTATGCATTAAATTTGATTACATACGAAAATGGTCTATCCAGATCAGCTAAGATGTCAGAGCTCAATACCGCCCTCTCTTGTTACAGCTGGTTCAAGGAGAACGACGCAGCCAAGGTCAAGGACAGTGAGAACCTGGATGTCAGCGTCTTGGTTCGTCAGTTCAGTACCGACGTGATGTCAGAGGACGCAACCTTGGTTCAAGCTGCTTTGCCTGCCATGGGCTTCTGTCTCAATCAAGCAGGCATCTTGAGGTAAGCAAAAAAAGTGATCCAATATTTGCTGGACATATATAGAGTGGTGAAGTGTGACGTCATCAAAAATCTATTTTTAGAATTTCTCAATTTTTTCTCCATATTCCGAAAGAACATCAAAAACGATGTCCAAATGTTGAAAACCAATTGAATATGTTAAGTATTGGCTGAGATATGACCATCGGATTGAATATATGTCCTATGGGAACTCAGTGTTAGAGCCAGAGCATATAACACTGAGTTCCACGGGGAGTATATTTATTCAGATGGTCATATCTCAGCCAATACTTAACATATTCAACTGGTTTTCGACATTTGGACATTATTTTTTGATGTTCTTTCGGAATATGAAGAAAAAATTGAGAAATTCTAAAAATAGATTTTTATGACGTCACAGCTTCGGTACTCTATAGCTACCAGCCAGTCCTATTTTGGAGAAATGATTCCTATTTTTGACCTTCAAGCCATTGTTTTGAACTTAAGATTCATCTCTTGTTTTGAAACATTCCATGTGAAAAGTATACAAAATAGGCTGTTTTTCTAATTTTGCCTTGAGAGATTCCTAATCATTGCTGTGAAAGGTTGGCAGGTATGTGGAGAGAGACATTTGCTTTTGACCTCATCCCGTCAAAGAAACAGGGTCATGGAGGGAGTAGGGATTTGGCTTTAGATGGAGGCTAGTGTCAGGTGTAGTTTGTTCTGATACATGCTTTGCATTTGGAGCATGGAGATGTATTAGAGTTATGGACTTCTGGGCATCATTCCACAAATCCGTCACAAGTAGAAGTTCACCGATATCACATTAAAATACATGCAAATAACAATACCCATGCTTCAATGGAATGTCGGTGCACTTGTACTTATTACGGTTTGTGAACCTGTGCCCTGATTGATAGTTCAGACATAACATCTTGAAAGTTGGGATGGATTTCAGAGGTATGTTATGATTGGAAAAGAAATTTGAATGGACTGAGCTCTTGAGAGGGAAAGGAAGACCAAATGTTTCATGGAAATATATGATGAAGAAAGACTGCAGTGAAGTTGGTCTAAATGAGGAGGATGCTCGAGACAAGAAGAAGTGGAAGGAGTGAGCATGGGTAACGCCTTGTGAGATGGCAAATGCTGACTTAATCAAATGATGATGATGATTTTAATTGGAAATACGTTTTGAAAATTGGTTAAATCTTTCTTCAGATTAATAATCTTACCTTCATGATTGTATTCATTCTTTGTGTACTTTCTTTGATCCTTGCAGGGCATTTACCGATGAACATTGCAGTCTAGTAGTAAAGGCATTGTGCAATTGTTTGCTGAAGACGGACGACAAGAGTCTCTGCACTAGAGCACTATGGTGTCTTGCAAAGCAAAATATCAAACCAGAAATCATTAAAGAAGAGGTAATTGTTCTTTTCTTTTTTGTCTCTGTTAATTTTGCATTATGTACAAGTAAACGTTGTAATATTTTAGAGAGTTTTATTGGAGTAAGATATAGGGTCAGTCAAAGATTCTTGAAATCCCTGTCTTTCAAATAGATGAGAAGTTCCTTAGGAGATAAGTACCTTCATGTGTTAACATTGTACCTTGCCTTACAGCTCAGCAGATGTGTTTGACTGGCCCTGTGCTAAGCAAGTTGTCCAATAAAAGTCTACCACTACTAACCTTAAGTACTTCTCATGAATTTGATACTGTAGTGAATTATTGTTGATATGTCATCATCTGGTTTTCCTCTTCTACTTTGCATATTATTTGAAAGGAAATATGCTCCTAAATTCTATTAATGAACACGACTGATCACACTGTTAGCAAATAATCGTCTCATTTGGATTCTCCCGCTTCTTCAGATCCATACCATCCTGTGTAGCGTTGAGAAGGCTGTCCAAGGGGAAGGAAGTGCCAAGTCAATGACTGTACAGCATGAATCTATCAATGTCATTATCAGGTAAATACAAGCGATATATCCCAATAAGTACAAAGCTGCTTTATGTTCCATGTTCGCCACAAGATGATACTTTGCCATTTGTGAAAGATTCTGGAGTTAGGTCAAAGCAGTTTATCAAATATGCACAGAGCTAAATTTATGTTTATGTTTGCTGCAAGATAATTGAAATACAACAAAATTATGCCATTTGTGAAAGATTCTGGGTATTCAGTAATCATTACTTTGGCATTAATTGTTTGAGCTTGTGTGGAAAGTTTGAAAAAAGGCTCAGAATTTCTTTGATTCCTTTTAACCATTTAACTTGGTGTACAAGTAGTGTTCAATAGGATCGAGTCAATGAATCGGTTCATCTTATTGCAGGAAGAAAGATGGGTCTTCCCATGCCAAAAAATATAACATGGGGATTAACTTTGTATTTTCAAACATTAAATTTGCTCATGCGTATATAGAGGGCAGCACACTGAGCCAACGGGTATTATGCTCCCGTGTGTACTAGTGTCCCTTTATGCGTACATCCGTACGGGAGCGTAATACCTGTTGGCTCAGTCTTGAACGACTATACCCCCAAGCTTAAGCATCTTTAACATGGTTGATAACCCTTTCCATGTTTACCCCATTTTCATTCTACCAGATTACAGGAGCAGCTCCCTGAGGCCATGTCCCTCCACGCGGCCCGCTGGGGCAAGCTCCTCCTGCCCAACCTGGTCCACACGGCCCCTAGGATCCGAGACCGAGCCGTCCACGCCACCCACCTGGGCCTCGTTGCCATGGTGCAGGCAAGGGCGGAGCTAGCCGGGCCTTTGATTGCCGATTTGAAGAGCACCCTGCTGACGGAGATGATTAAGTTGTTCCGGGCCAGGAATGAACTGTTGATGTTGAAAGTATGGACTTACTATGTCACGATTCTAGGAAAGGTGAGTACTGAGAATTTTTTTTAAAGATTAATTTATTAATTAATTTTATTATTATTTTTGTTTTTTACTGTGGTTACAAAAGATGTCCTAGACCTACACTGTATATATATATATATATATATATATATATATTTTTTTTTTTTTTAAAGATGTCCTAAACCTACATGTAAATATATTAACAAATATCTATAAATAAAACAGAAACAATATGTATGTGTTCTCTTTTAGTGAATTGACCCTTATTGAAATTAAAAGGTTTGGGGCCATAGACAAGGTCTATGCACTTTTTTTAATGTGGCCTAATTGAATATTAGTTATAGAATTGAATATTAGTTTTAGGGCTATTTCCATCAGATATAAAAGTATATATTGCTTCATTATTCATTACTTTTCCAAGACTCTTTTACTCTTACCACTGAGCTTTTCGACACCTCCTCCCACCCATCCCCCCCCCCCCCCCCCCCCCTGCTCCCCTCCAACGTGACATTTCATGGATACACACCTCATACAATGATTGTTATGCTTGTGTTTTGACAGTCCCTGCACAAGGGTGGTAGCTTGATCAACAGCCTTCTCACAGTGATAGAGCTGGGCTTCAAGAACCCACAACCTGAGGTGAAGAAAGCAGCTTACAAGAGCTGGCAGGCACTCATCGATAACTTCAGTCTAGACCTGGGTATGTGTGTGTGTGTGTGTGTGTATGTTTAAATGAAGTTAGACGATCATTCTTACGTGTTTAAAAGAATGGTACTCTGAAAATGATGGTGTCTTTCATTATATGAGAGGTATGTTAATTGTCATAGCAAATCTAAAATGGGACAGATTGACATTCAACGTCTATGCTTTGCAGGTTGCATATGTCTATATTTAAGTTCACAGAGATGACATGGTTGCCAAAAATACAACTTTTTATGATTATTATTATGATAAGGACAAAATGTTACAGGTAGCAAGGTAAGCAACTAAAAGTTAGTGAAAATTGGAAATCGATTATGTTATTTTTGAAAAGCACTCTGAAAAATCCCCACACTATTAACATTTTCATATAAACTCACCTATTCTTCATATTCATCTTCAGTTGTTAGATATTGTTAAATAATTCTTGGATGATCAGTTATTTCATGAGGATACCAAATTAATTTGTATTTATATGCTTGTGTATTTATCTATTTTGTTTTTGCTGCTGTTATTTGTTTTATTCTTACCAAAATGGAAGACCACCAAATTAGTGATAATGTGCGAACCTGTATAAATAAACAAATAAATAAATTATTTGCATTATTCATTTTTCTCTTCATCCAGATGTCCTTAGCAATGCTAAGAGGCTCAAACTGCTGATGCAGCCTTTCCTAGCAACCAGTATCCGATTTGAGAGTGTTGTGCACGTCAAGCTGGATACATGGTGGCGTCTTGTCTCATCTTTGGGGACGAGGTTGCCTTCTACATTTCCGGTGGTAAGAAGAGCTCATATTTTTCTCAAAGGAGGATGCTGGTGGGCATGTTGTGTGTGTAATCAATCATCTTAATTCCTCTTTATTCATATTCAATCTACTATCTAGTAGTGTCTTCAATATCTTATTAAAGCCTGTCTGCACTAGTTTGGCCAGGAGGGATTAGACCTCCCTGCTTGGTCACTGGCAGGTAGTTATCATCAAATCAGCTCTCAATTAACATAAGAAAAAGGGGATCATGGGGGATCAACAGGGACCGTGGTAGCTACAAGTAGTGCAGTCCCGCTTTAAATGAATTGTCAACTATTTAATTTAGATTAATTAATGATGTACAGTCATGATAGCATTTGTGCAGAATACTGCTGCGTTTCTTCAGAGACTGCTGTTTTACTTCATAAACTTTAACAACTCCCAACAACTTTCCATTAATAAAATATGTTAAATGAAGATGAAATATATCATGGCATAATACGCAGATACAGAATGGGGTTTATAGTGAATTTATTGTCGACAGTAAAACAGTCATCAGGCACCAACTTTGTGAGGGTTAAATTTGTGATGGTTTTATGGACAAATGATTTTTACCTTTCCAGGTATGCGCACCCCTTCTGCAATGCACGCTGGGACCGATAAGAACCGGTGCTGCAGGGGTAGTGACCCCCAGCAAAGGAGGGGTAACAGCGCCCCCATTCCTGCAGGGATTCAGCACCCCTCAGGCTAGAACAGGTATGATATCAAGATGAGAATGATGATCCTTGTTTTCATGGTAATGATGATGGTGGTTTTCATGACAAGGGGTTCTTAAATACAGAGAATACTAAATGAGATGACAAGATTGAAATGAGGGTATCGATTATGTCCCTGGTGTCATTATTGATGAGGAGGAGGAGGATATTAATTGTTGTCTTGGAAACAATGATGATTTTTTTTTTCCAAGCCATGCAGTCCTCGCAATGATAAAGTGATACACAGATACTTACCTTATTCTTTGTAAACATTTTCATTTCTTTTATAAACTTCTTTAAGGCCTGTCTGCACTACTTTGGCCAGGAGGGATTAGACGTCCCTGTATGGTCACTGACGGGTGGTTATCTGATCAAATCAGCTCTCACTTAACATATGAAAAAGGGGATCATGGGGGACCAACGGATACCGCTTAGGCATTGTTTACTATATAGAGGGCGCAAGTAGCCACTAGAAGTGCAGTCCCGCTCTAAAAAATGATAATTTTCCATTTTTCTTTTTCATTAGCCATGCTTCCAGCGGCAAGCCCCATCACACCTCGCCTCAACCTCTCTCTGAATAGCTCCGGTGCCCAGCAGACCTTTTCATCTGTTCAGCTGAGAGGGGTTCGCATGTTGGCGGCCATCATGGGTATCCAACAGCCACCCAGAGACGCTTCAGGTGAGTCTTGTGAGAGTTTGTTGGAAGAAACATTCCGTGATATGGATGGCAAATCCCACCCATGAATTTCCATCATGAACTTATTTGGGGGAGCAAAGAATGGATTTTTTTTTTTGCTCAGAAACTCAAACAGCCAAAGGTCATTATGGAAATGGTTCTCAAAAGAAATTCATTATCCCCAATTCAAAAGTCAAAAGTATTAAAAAAAAAAATATATATCACTTCTTTCAATTCGAAACGTGTTGGTAAAGCAAATAAAACTGTTTTGAACATTAATTTTCCCTAGCAGTTACATGTATATATGTGGTGATCATAGTGATTGTGATGAGGATGAGGAGTATGATTGTGGTAATGATAAAAACAATGATGGTGATAATGATGATGATGATGGTGATGATGATGAGTATATGATGATGATGTTGATGAAGATGGTAATGGTGGTGATATTTTTAATGGTGGTATGCATTGTGGGTGTAATGATGAGGAGGAAGAGGAGGAGGAGGAGGAGGAAGATTTCTATTATGCATCACCAGTATTTTTCATCAAATGATACTTCCAGCTTCTTCATCAGAGACAACCTCTTATGAAGTAACTGATAAAATAAACCATTGAATGTTACTGAATTATAATAAAAATAAACCTCATACTATTTCCAACTTCATGGTTACAAGTATGCTTTCAACTTCAAATATGGTTTCTTTTCTCTCATTCACAGAGTCAATAGATGTACTGCCCCAGAGAATCTTGAGTAGCCCCAGTGTTTTCAGCAAAGTTGCCCCATGTCTTGTCCCATTTGTGATGGATGTCTTGTTCCTTCAAGACGAAACAATAGGTGAGTGAAATCAAACTTTGTTAATGTTAATCGGTCAGCTATTTTGTACGTCTGTCTTCTAATACCAAAAATTCTGTAAGAAGGTATGGGAATCGTGTCATGAAGATTAAAACATTTATTCTAATGGTTCTTTATGGCTCATCTCAATCTCTATTGTCCATATTGTACTGATTCCGTAAAAGACCCTATCCGATGAAAATAAAATTTATATCAATGGAATGCTGAACGAACGTAGAATGACAAATATTTTCTCTTTCAGTATCACACAAACGCCAATTAAAACTCTGGTTTTAGCACCCCCATAAATTGCTGGTTAACAAGGGTCAAATTTGCCACAGTTATGGTGAGGACATTGAATGTGGACCCGATCAGCTCGCCTATATAGGTGAGGCGATGAGTTGTGTTTAATTAATGAAAAGTCATTGTGAATATGCGTACTCCCTTTAAGATGATGTCATCAAGTTGATAGCTAGCTCTGATTTTCCTGATTATTGTTCAAATTAAACAGGTGACCTTCCCTTGAGGATATTCAATGAGTTTGTGGAGCAGGTCAAAGGGGTCGTCGAGGGGTCATCTAAGCGGGACAGTGTCGACGTCTTCACCCTCTTCGTGGAGCACCTGACGACGCTCATTAACTCTAATCAACTACCTCCCTCTACAGTTCTAGTGAGTGTAATAGAATTTAAGTCAGGAATTTGAAAACATTGTTGATGAAAAAGACAACTTCAGTCTTTTAGACATATGATGAGAAGACAAGGCACAGAAAATAGGTTATTGACAGGAAATATTTAGGGAAAGAGAAGCAGAGGGGGACAGCACATCAAATACATGGATTAGTTTGTTGGGCTGACTGATAACAGAAGTAATGTCACATTACCAAAAGCCAGTGATAGAAGTAGATGGAAAGCCTTGATCGCCAATTTATGGAACAGACAATGCATCAAATAAGCAAGCAAGCATTGGTCAAAAATGTTCAAGTAGAATTTGTTTGATTCTAGTTTATACACTTTAATTCCTCAAGAGATTCCCTCGGAATGAACTGGCTGCATTAGGGCCTTTGTTGAATACTTTCAGATGTAAGCTATAATATGTACTATTTTCAGGAAACATACATTGAGACAAATCAATTATTCACATATTTAACTTGGTAAGAGTATGAATAATGTAGTTGTTAACTGTATATTGTATTGCTTTGTAAAATTGTTTGAAAAATCATGATTTTTGCTGTCCTCATGAGTTATGATAAGGTTAAGTTATAATTGACTGCAAGGAATGATAATTAAAAAGAAAAGTAATTTTGCATAATTGGAAGGAATGAATGTGAAACTCCAGTGTCATGTCATCAGTCTATTCATTGATTTCTTCTGTATATATATTTTTCTCCCTAGAAACTTCTTGATTCTGTAAGTCAGCTGCCAAAGAAAGTACTATCATCTTCAAGCTATCATACAGGAAGTGCTGGTGTCATGCATGTAAGTTGCCCATTTGCTAAACTTGTTAACTACAGTTCCACCTGTGATCAACGTCACACTGATGGCACGCACTTGATCGCGCTCAAAATGCACGACTATGAGCACGATCGCGCGCTCTTGTAATGTGTTATCACTGTTGATCATAGAGTTGCGATATTCTCTACGACAGTATTACAAATGCGCTCGATTCCGTTCAAAACGGCAGTAAAAAGCGGGGATGTTTTAAAAATGACTCTCCCGTTTCAATTTTTTTTCCTCATTAATACGTTGAATGTATATCTTGCTGGGGTGAAGTAGTCCAACCCTCATATTTTGTCACTTTCTCCTTGTTAAAACTTCACCATTCCATTAGCCTTCCTTTTTTCTTTTTATGCCTCCGCCACCGAAGGTGGTGCCGGAGGCATCATGTTTTCGGGTTGTCCGTCCGTACGTCCGTCCGTACGTCCGTACGTCCGTCCGTACGTCCGTCCGTCCGTCCGTACGTCCGTCCGTCCGTCCCGTTTGACCGTTATCACAATATCTCAAGAACCATTTAAGATTTAAACTTAAGACTCGGGAATAGTATTTATCACCATAGGAAGACGATCTGATTAGATTTTGGAGTACGTAGGTCAAAGGTCACAGGTCACAGAGGTCAACTTATGAAATTCCTTGTATTGAGTTTGTTAGCGCGATATCTCAAGAACCATTTGAGATTTAAACTTAAAACTTAAGGATAGTATGTATCACCATAGGAAGACGATCTGATTAGATTTTGGAGCACGTATGTCAAAGGTCAAGGGTCACAGAGGTCAACTTATGAAATTCCATACATTGAGATTGTTATCATGATATCTCAAGAACCACTGGAGATTTAAACTTCAAACTTAGTGATAGTGTGTATCACTATAGGAAAACAATCTGATTACATTTTGGAGCACGTAGGTCAAAGGTCAAAGGTCACAGGGCTCATTATGTATGCAAAAACAGCTTGTGATCGCGTTATCTGAACAACCGATTGATGGATTCCTACCAAACTTTGGTCATGTATGTATCTTGCAGAGCTGATGAACTGATTAGATTTTGGGGTCACGAGGTCAAAGGTCAAAGGTCGCAGGGCTCATTATGTATGCAAAAACAGCTTGTGATCGCGTTATCTGAAGAACCGATTGATGGATTCCTGCCAAACTTTGGTCATGTATGTATCTTGCAAAGCCAATGAACTGATTAGATTTTGGGGTCACGAGGTCAAAGGTCACAGCGCACATTATGTATGCAAAAACAGCTCGTGATCGCGTTATCTGAACAACCGATTGATGGATTCCTGCGAAACTTTGGTCATGTATGTTACTTGCAGAGCTGATGAACTGATTAGATTTTGGGGTCATGAGGTAAAGGTCAAGGTCATGCGGCTCATTATGTATGCAAAAATAGCTTGTGATCGTATTATCATTAGAACAGATTGATGGATTCCTGCCAAACTTAGATCATTTATGTATCTTGCAGAGCCAATGAATGGTTCATAAGATCAAAGGTCATGGGCTCATTATGTATGCAAAAATAGCTTGTGGACGCATTCTCATTAGAACTGACAGATGGATTACTATTTAACTCAGGAAATCTTGCAGAGCCAATGAACTGAGTGATAGTGTGTATCACTATAGGAAAACAATCTGATTACATTTTGGAGCACGTAGGTCATGAGGTCAAAGATCAAAGGGTCATATATGTTTATGAGAAATTGCTTGTAATCAAGATATTCTGAGAACATGTTAATGGATTACAATTGAACTTGAATTTGAAAAATTTCTTCCGTTTCGGTTTGTAAAATTGCTCTATGACGGAGGCATCATTTTCGACTGCGCGCAGTCGAATTCCATCTAGTTTTCTTCTTTTTTCCATTAGCATTCTTTCGTGATTTTGTTAATGACGATTTGTTTAAATTATCATTTAAGCTAGTCTAAGCTAGCACATCAATACTGAATATTTTGAGTCCGACCCTGTTTCAAAGCGATTTATCATGTAATTGCAAAACTCTTTGTATATTCTTGTTTCTTTTGTATCACTATTTTTGATACTACAGAAATGCAGCCCTAATATTGAAATTAATAGTCTACACTCTGCTTTCAAGTTCTGTTTTTGTCTTTCATTACAGGGTACACCAGCTCTGTTCCTCACCAGTCTTCTCTTCAATCAAACAACAGTAGTCTCCAAACCAGAAGAAAGGTAAGAACCAGCATGAAATCCATCAAAATCTTAATTTTATTAATCATATGACTATTAAAATCATTGATCATTAAGAATTGAGATGTTTGAAAGTTCACATCAAATGTAATTGCAAATTCTCAGATCGAATAGTGTGTGATGGGCTTAATGTAGTCAGATGTGTATATAAAGACCACTCATGAGTCTTGAGCAATAATGACTGTGGTATTAATGTACAAATAATTCAGCTAGTTGTAGTTCTTGCTTAATATATTCCTTTTTGTGTGAAGTTAACTTTCCATGAAGTATTTTATGATGTATTTCATTCTTGTCATACCATTCCAGGTTCTTCAGTTTTCTTATGAGACTGGTCTTGAGCAAAAATGGCAATTGTTTTAATTCACAAATAATTCAGCTAGTTGTAGTTCTTGCTTAAAATATATTCCTTTTTATGCCAAGTTAATTTTCCATGAAGTACTTAATTATCTATTTCATTCTTGTCCTACCATTGCAGGTTCTTCAGTATTCTCATGAGACTGGTCGAGTGCGGTATGGCGTCTCCCGGGACCTTCCTGGGATTCAGCCAGTCCGTCATAGCCATCGTTGACAAGGTCTCGGACTCCGTCACTGACAAGGACGCCCTCTGGAGGATGTGGAGTGCGCTGGCAGGCCCTCTACTGCAACACATTGCTCAGGTAATGGTTTGTCATTGTGAAAATCGGATTGATGTTTGATTTTGGGATTCTTAAAACCAGCTTCATGCCTCAGTCACACCTTTGCGTATTGCTGCGTATTTATGGGAAGCCGTTTCAACAGTTATTTCTATTTCTTGATATCAAGAATTGAATTTTTGACATCAATTAATCAAATTCCTGAGTTCAAGAATTACCGTTGCTTTACAACAGAAAATCATCTACTGATATCACAAATAGGAATGAATGTTAAAACAGCTTGCCATAAATACGCAGCAATACGCAAACCAAATACGCAAAGGTGTGACTGAGGCATGAGACCGAGGAATGTACGTAGAACTTTCAATGTAAAAACACCCAGAAAAACTTTTTGCAATTTTATTGAAACATTCAGTTTGTGATGATATCCATACTTGTAAGAGTCAGGGAAGGAGTGTAAAATGGTAGTCTAATTGAGTATACACAGCTATAATGTACACTATATCATAATTCTACTGATATGCCTTATTAATTTATAATGGTGGTGGTGGTTTTTTTTACCTGACTACTAAGAAAGCATAAATGCTTGTTAGTTAGCAGCTAGACGGCTGACGGCTTTAGGTCCTCTCCGATGGACCTGGTAATGAGGATTAATGCCTTTCCAATGTCTACAAATACTTTGTTATGGTAAAAAAAAAAATTTCATTGAAACATTTATGTATTAATAATCTGTATAAAAAGACCATCAGTCTAGAAAGATCACAGTTTTTCATTTGAGTGCTCTTATATTCAGAATAGACTGTATTTCAAAATAACTTGACTGTCTCTGATTTGTATATTTCATGTTCAGACGAATGAGGTAAATCAAGGTGACTCCCTGGAGCATGATTTCTCGGCTGTGATTGCCTGTTTGCAGTTTCCGATTCAAAGATTGCTCACCGATGATCTTTCCCAGGTAAGTGTGTCAGTAATGTCCAACCTTCCAGCCTTCTTTGCAGCTATATTTCTGGACAGTATTTTAAAAAAAAAAAGCTTAAACTATTCCTAAAGAATCATGGCTTTGACCAGAAAACGAATATTTAAAAAAATCTCATCTTTCTTTTACCATTAATCTCAACCCTACCCTCCTCTCTCCCTCTCTCTATCATCAATCTCATCTTCCCCCGTTTTGGTATATTTAAAAGAGAATTAAAAAAAAATTGATTAATTAGCACAAACAATAATGACTGTGTCCTGTCTGCAGCCCCCCCCCCCCCTCTCTCTCTCTCTCTCTCTCTCTCACTCTCTCTCTCTCTCTCTTTTTCTGTTTCTGTTTCTCTTCCTTTCTTTATCTGTCTTTCTCTGTCTTTCTATTTCTCTTTCTCTCTCTCTCTCTCTCTCTCTCTCTCTCTCATGTATGTGTTGTAGAAGTATGCTAAAGACCATGGGGTCCAAAATTACAACAGTAAGAATTACATCATGATAATTATGCTTGTATCTGAAATTAATGCCATGTGTTGGCATAAGATAACGCAAAATATGATGAAGAAGAGTGCCAGAAGAGTACTTTAAATCCAAAAGTTTTATTAGTAACAAAGCACATTACCTTGGAAATGCTTTATAGCTCAAAGAAATATCTTGGTTAAAAGTATTAGTACGTCACATAGACTCAAGAGACCCAGAGTTAATAATATTATATTGCAAGTAATAAGGATTTTGTATCTACATGTATTTACATGCGCCATAGTGATGCAAAAGACTAGATTGTGCTAGAACAGCATACATTTTCATCATGTTTATATCAAATACAAGAGATTTGACATATTTCACCTCGATGCATTTTGAAACTTACAACTTATTGAAACAAATAAGAAAGTGAAACATTTATTTATACCATACAGCCGTATTAAATGTGCGTGGCGACATTGTCAAAAGAGCATTTATATCATACAGCAGTATTAAAAGGCATATAGCAACATTGACATTCCACTTTACATACTTGCATTTATGGAAGTAATGTTTGATAATGTTCAAAATATTTTGAAATTTTATTGAATTGATTTGATTTAAATTCCAAAGAAAATGAAATACAGCCTCCTGGTTGATATTACCTGTTTTACATTATAATATAAAAACTTCAATATACAAAAGTAATGTATATGATTCTATCATAAAATATATTATACAAAACTATATTAATCAAAATATGTTTGGTAATTAGGTTATGTCAGAAGTATTATATCATACCAGCCAACCCTTACAAATAAACCAGAATTTTTTTTAGGACCTGAACATTCAGAATTTTCAAAATGTAGATTTTTTGTTGTTTTTGTTGTGCTAAAGAAAAATTATTCTTGTTTTATTATGTGCCGCGATTTGAGAGTTCACGTATTGCGTGCATTGAATGGCTGCATGATCGAGTAGCGAATTTGTATTCGCTTTTTGGTACAGTTTTACGGCAAATTCGATTTCTTATTTTTGAAGGCATACCCTGCTAAAAATTCCTAATTCTTATTTTCAAATGTTGGCAGGTACATGTATGTTACATGTATATGTATTAAACAAGTATGTTTATGAATAGAGTTGTCATGTTAATGCATATATCAATTCTATGTCATCATTATTATGACATATCATCCATCTTTAATAGTCATATCATCTTACACACAGTCGACACCCTTTTGTCTCGAAACAGAAAATATTGATCTGTTTGAAAGAAACCTCCAAATGTAGAAATAAACAGAAAGCCAGACTAACCATGATAATTGTAATAATGGTGTTGAGGAATTAAGCAAAAATGTAGCCTATACATGAGCCTATACATGAGCCTATACACGAGCCTATACACGAGCCTATACACGAGCCTATACACGAGCCTATACACGAGCCTATACACGAGCCTATACACGAGCCTATACACGAGCTTGTAAAGATTTGTATATAAACTGTATCATAATGTACATAGCACTCGAATGGAAGTAAATTAGGGTTAACGCACATAATTTGCAAGAATCTTCAGTAAATTTAAGGAGGCAGACTTAATCAGAAGAAGAAGGAGAAGGAGAGATGAGGAAGATGAAGAATGAGGAGGAAGGAAAGAGAAATTAATATGTCCAGAAATTTTGTACAACATCATGAAACATGAAAGGGCTTTAAAATGATGCACCAAAATAGATGAAGAAAACTGGTCAAAAGGAGAAGATGGAAGAGGAAAATAAAATATCTGTAAATTTACTAAACTCACACCAGTATTTACCAAGTATTTACCAAAGAGTACCAAACTACAGTACATAGTATTAAAAGTAAACTGAAATCATACCCTGTCCTTTTGCTGAAGTCAAAATATCCCAGCAACTTGTTTAAATATACACAGCTATAATGTAAACTATATCATAATTCTACTGATATGCCTTATAAATTCACAATCTCTGCATGTCTACAAATACTTTATGGTTATGGTACGATATGCCTAACAGCATCACAAAAGATGTACAGTTAACAACTCAATTATTCATACCCTTACCAATTTTTGTAATTATTCAAGAAAGGCCCTATAATTGAACCAATCCACCTTTCATTCTAGAATTATGAAGAAAAAACACAAAAACATCAAATTTAGTTGTACATGTATACATTGTATGTAGTAATATGGTGACTCTCAAGTTGCAATCCAGTTTGATAAAAGGTAGTTAAAGGTAATACAAAGTTTTGGGAAATTTTGAAAATTGGCTGGATAGTGATTCTTTACAATTTTGATATATTTAGATGCCCCTGTGGATGTATTATAAGCTCTAGAAAATTTAGCCCCTAAAACACTTCTGCTTTCGAGCAAAATTGAATATAAAAATTTACCGGTGCTCCAGGTAAATTTTGATGAATTTCAAATAGCGCCTATGGCCATACAATGGTAGCTGCGACCATGAAATTCACAGAATATGTAGTTGTGATTTCTAACAGGAATAGCCAATCATCAATTTTAGTCAAGAAACATTGTTTATTACTGAATATTGTAGGATCGCATATATGCTTTCAAAATGTTTATTTGAACCAAATTCATCACCCCATACCAAAACTTAGTATTACCTTTAATGTGCCATAAATTTGAGGAGATGCATGCAAATGTGGTCACTATAGTCATGTCTTGAATGATTTGTTTGATTTTAATTATATCTGCCTAAATAATGCTACACACACTCCACTTCCTCTCGATTGACTGGTAAGCATGGATCTGTACTTTCTGGTTTTATGCTACTTTGCAATCTTGCCAATTCTTTTGCTTTGCGGCGATACGTACATGTATATACTATGCTTAAAGTAATGATAACCAAAACTAAGATGACCATAATTGGTGCATAGGTCACTTTCCAGTTGGAATTGTTCTTGGGATTTTCAGGATATTTTGTAGGTGCTGTCACAAGATCTGAAGATGAAGAATTTAAGTTATCTATGGTGATGATATGGGTTGATGTTGGATCTTCTGTGGACATTGCTTGAGGACATGGATCTGCTATGTCAGAGACACTGTCACTCATTGGGTCCCATCTCCAGTCTGTACAGTTACATTTGTCTTCTATCCCATTTAAGACGGAAGAACAACAATATACCAAACCATCCGACCTAGCTAGGATAATCTGATTTAAATTTCTGTCACTTTCTTTCAGTTTATCCTTCGGGAGTAATCTCGTTTCATTTTGATAGCATAGGATGTGCCCTGGGAGAGTCCCTACTGGAGCTGTACAATGCATCGAGACCCACTCCCCATCATTATAATCATTGCTTAATTCACATGATGCCTTCCCAGGAGGATAATCAACAAGTAACCCAATTCTTGGATAATCTGGTAGCATGGCGCCATTCTTGTAAGCAGTGAGAATATAGGTACCTTCATCATCTCTTGAAACAGGGTTGATTGTGAGGTTCAATGAGCACTCATTTCTGGCAGTATCATTTTGATTTTCCAGAAGGTAATTGGCAGGTAATGGGATCGATCTCGGATTATTAGAATTGTAAAATGGTAGTCTGTATGAATTCTGCAGTGTGATCCTTGTACTATCACATGGATATGTAAATTTAAATATTGCCTTTTCGCCCACCTTGACTTTTAGTGTAAGAGATTCACATGTGGACATTCTACTGAATACAATAAAAACAATGACAATAAATATTTTGTGGGAAAGTTCCTGCTGTTGAGACATGTTGTGAATGAAAAGAGCTTTAACTTTCTCAAGTGATTTGACTAGAAGAACAGTATGGAAAATAGGTCCTTTTACACCAGTGTTTGGCTGCTGCTCTTTTGTCTCTGCTAATATCCAGGCTTTGTATGGAGGCAGCAATGAACCTAGCTTCTCTATGAGTGCATTTTTCATTGGAGTCTGATCTATTCTACCCAAATGATCTTCTTGGTAAACTGCAGTATGATCCTCTCTTGATAGAAGGAATGATTTACAAAATGTAGGCTGCAAAAGTAATAGATTCTCTCAGTTCTCCCCAAAGTGTTGAATTAAATGAGCTTCTCCAGGAGTTGTAGGTTGAATATTGTTGAAATCGTATCCCTGGGTCCTGTGAAGTTGAAAAGGTAATGTGTTCCTCTGTGCTATGCTTCAACTTCAATGGAGTAAAAGAATGAGCGATGAAGCAGTTGATTGTTTTCAGTTTTGCAGATATTCAGACAGCACTCTCTCATGTTCCAATTGGAGTGTTCTCTGTCAGTTCTGTATCTCCAATAATTGCTTGTTGGAAGCGTGATGAAAACTGAAAGAAATTGAATATTATGAGATAGATTTACCTAGCACTCTCTCATGTTCCAATCGTAGTGTTCTCTGTCAGTTCTGTATCTCCAATAATTGCTTGTTGGAAGCGTGATGAAAACTGAAAGAAATTGAATATTAAGAGATTGATTTACCTAGCATTCCAAAATGCGGTCTACATTTGTACTATATTATGATACAGCACAACACTGACAATACATGAGTTATTGTTTTTTAAGGTACATACATGTACAAGATGAAATGTGACTCAAAAGAAACAGAGCCTTGGTAATAGTGATGACATCATCTCACCATGACCTTGGCATCCATTACTTTGTTGAAAGGTTTAATGGCCCTTAAAATAATTATGTTTGAAACTTTGAAAAGATATGAAATTAAACTTGAACGCTAACTCACAGCACTACTATTGCACAAAATTTTAATTGTTTCAACACATACATGTAGTACATTTTCATTGACACTTTAACACATCAGATTAAAGAATATGTTGTAGTTCCTCATGCTGCCTGTTTCCATTTAATAGCATCACTTATTTGTGTACATCATACCTTATCAAAATGTTGCTTGACTTTGAAAGAAATTAAGCAACATGAAAAACATGTTAATGCTGGTTCATAAACATGTTTCAAACTTTATTCAGCTCGTTATAGTGCAAATGTAAATGTGATATACATCAGTTAAGTAGTAGTTACATGTATTATGAATTTCCTTCCTTTTCAATCAAAATAATGTCCTGTGAATTGTAGATATACAGGTGTATAGAAAAATCTCTCATCTATAAAGTCATTTAGTTTCACAAAAATTAACTTACCGTTTACTAGGCACATGAGTATCCTGTGTTTTTATTTTATTGTAAAAATTCACAGCTGGTGCAAATGCAAACTCAAAATGAGCAGTGTTGTAGTATACAGCTTGGGCTTAGCGTCAGAAGCTTATTGAAATTCCGCGCCAATTCTGTCCTTTTAATTTTGTGTACACACTAGGAGCCAATCATTGAGCCATACTGTGTATAGAGGTACAAAGTCCAAATCTGCTTGCTGTTGTTCGTTTGCTCCCCTCCATTCAATTTATAATTTTAGAATCAAACACAATAGGCGTTGTCACGCAGAGGCCAAAATCTGGATTTTAGTTTTCTGGATATTAGTTATCCTCTTAAATGGCTGTCTGTCATCAATTATCCCTTCAAAAATCCTCTAACGAAGCAATATAATTCTCCCTTGAAAGGATTTTTACTGGTGGAGGGGTCAATTTGACCCCCCCCCCCCCAAGATCTCGGCCGTTTCACAGCCAATCGTCGCGCAAATTTGCGTGCATGTCCAGTGAAGTGTATAGAATACTATGGTAATTTCAATTTATTTTTTTAATTCACTAATTTGCATATCTATGGTAATTTATGCAAATAAGGTCATAAAATTCACACTTTTACCCATAAATCATATATTATTCATATTTAAGCATTCTTTTTCACTACATATATTCGTTAAACCATTTGGAATAATAATATGACAACACAAATTGGAAGAGCCAGGTTATTCCTTATGTTATCTCTTGTTTTTATAATTTTTTATGTATTTCATTGTTTTTTTAAGTTATGTATTTTATTGTTTTTGTTGTTTTATTTCAATTCTGACTACAATTCAACTATTTTGACCCCAAAACAAACACCTAAACTTTAAACAAGACCAAATAACCAATGGTTTATCTCTTTTTAGGAAAAATAATATTTCCATATGTTTTGTACACAAATCACAAAAATTAGAGATTTTTGGGCTGACATGCCAAGACAAAAGGTCACGTGACTTTGTAACTATACGCCCGATTTTCAAAAAATTGTTTCAAAAGATGCGTAAGACTCTAAAGAAAAAAGTCACGAAAGGAAAAAATTATATCTGCCACGGTTCCGGAGTACTGTAGTTGTTAATTACTACAGGGGGGGGGGGTCAAATTGACCCCCCCCCCCTTCCAGTTAACATTTAATCCGATAATTTAAAAATACTGATTATGTGGCAGGCTGAGGATTTTTATTTCAAGTTTTATTATGAGAATATGAGACATTCGCTTTCATTTTGTTCACTCGCAGCCTACTGTCAAAACACTCTTAAAACTCTGGTCTGAGTTGTACGAGGCGTTCGCCCGATCTGCGTCAAGGGTCTCTATCGCTGAAGCAAACCAATGCTGTGAAGATATCAGTAGCAAGCTGATGACACAGATGGATGGAGCTGCTCTTGAGGTCAGTAGTTCAAAGTTCATGTCATAGTAGGTCCAAGTTTGGGTCAGAAATGCTCATATATCATGAAATATAATTGAGGGTCTCCATCGCCGAAGCAAACCAATGCTGTGAAGATATCAGTAGCACGCTTATGACCAAGATGGATGGAACTGCTCTTGAGGTCATTAGGTCAAAGTTCATGTCAGAAATGTTTGCCTGTCCTATCGAAATTCCTTTCAAAGTCGGTATTTAAGCTCAGATATCTTTAAAATAATTCAGGGTTTCCATCGCCGAAGCCAACCAATAATGTGAAGATATCAGTAGCAAGCTAATGACCCAGATGGATGAAACTGCTCTGGAGGTCAGTTGGTCAAAGTTCATGTCAGATTTTTATTTAATTCGGTCAAAACTCCTCATACATAATACAAATTAAAATGAAACGCATGTATTTCAAATATATAATAATCATAATATAAATTGAAAAATATTTGCCTGTTCTATAGAAATTCCCTTCCTGGTAGGTATTTATGGTCAGATATTTTGAAAATAATACATTTTCAGAATTATAATAAATTGGATTAGTGCTTCTGGTAGACAAGTAATGCTTATTTTTTTGGTACATTGTAGATGTGTTTCAGATTCAAGAAACTGTTGAATTGTAAGTTCTGACAGATTTTCAGGTGCATGGATGAAAATAGGTGGCCCTTTAACAGACAGGTTCTACAACACAAATTCTTTCTAGAGGGAGACAAAATACATTGTCACCATACACAGGTGGCCTTTATGGAGAGGTGGCCACCAAGGTGGGTTTGACTGTACATTTTGTGTGTGAATATATATATATATATTTGTATGTAAATTCTTGCTTATTAATTTATTCATGTTTGTATGTGTATTCTCTCACAGAAATGGTGCTATGTAGATGCTGTAGGTCAGATATGTCAAGTGATCACGCGGAACCTTGATCTGTCGCACTACACCGTTACTACCCCAGGATGTAAGTATCTTTATGAACTTAGTGACCTTCCACAATCTAGGCCTGATAATTACCTGATTTAAATCGGTTTCCCGATTTTTTTTCCTGATTTTTTTTCTTCAGATTTTTTTTTCCCCTCCGATTTGTTGTCCTTTTTTTTTTCTTTTTTTCCTAATTCTACCATTATTTCCCGATTTTTTTCCTACTTTTTTTACTCAAAAGGCGGGGAATGTTGTTAGATGACATTTTTTTCTTTCCTGAATCCTTTTTTTTTCTTCACTCAAGGGGGGGGGGGGGTGGTTGACAATCTATCAGGAGCATTAAGTCTATCTCAATATTCATGTCTGCCCTCAAGACTTTCCTGTTCCCATTTACGACATATTAAGAACAATACTAATGCCGACAAAGTCTAATGGAAAATAATCTGAAATTGAAATACTGACAAAAAAAGTTGAATTTGAGAGACATTGTAGATTAAGCACAATGACCGTTGTATCCTGGTGGTTGGTTCAGCATTTTGAAGTTAAGTAAAATGCCCCTTGAATACTTCCCAAGGGAGTGGAGAATGTGCACACAGAATTATGTTGCAAGCAAGACTGAATCCATCCACTGAATACATCGACTGAAATAATATATCTGTAGAGTGATGATAATCTAGAATATCGCATCACATCATGTTTGCTCTGCAAAGAATAGTTTTTTATGCAAAGAATAGTATCAACATTTAAGTGCACATGCACTCTTAACTTGCAAGTACACATTTATATCAGCATTTATATACCTTGTAAACATTTATATATTTGTATAAATCTAAGGTAACATACCTGCCAAACCTTATAAATAATCCAGAATATTCTGGATTTCTAGGACCTGAAAATCTGGAATATTCTGTTTTTAAATTTTTTTAGGCCCTAAAGCCAAATAAAGCTTGTTTAATCATGGGCCGCGATTTGAGAGTTCACGTATAGTGTGCTTTTAATGGCTGCATGATCGAGCAGCGAATTTGTGCGAATTTGTACAGATTTACCGCGTATTGCCAGTTACATACTGGCAAGACATACTGTGCTAAAAATTCCTAATTCTTATTTTCAAATGTTGGCAGGTATGAGGTAATGTTAATCTTAAAATCTAGTAATATTTGGGCCATCTTATTTTCTATACAGCACCACGCCACCCAGGTAAACGACCCAAGGTCAAGAGTCGTTACCAGGGTAATCTCACGTCATTGGTCAAGCTGGTGGCTCATGTGACAGAGGCATGTGCTGATCTTTGTAAGAAGCAGACCACCCCGTTTTCTCCTTCATTGAGTCAGGTATGTTGAGCAAAAAAAACATGTTCAAGTATAGTGAGCATATCATACCCTCACATTGATGATCATCATCTTCTTCATCATGGTCAGCGCTATCCATATTGTCATCTTTATCGTTATCACCATAATCCCAGCTTTCCATCACCATAACTTCCCACTATTCATCCTTGTCCCCATTCACTATTTTCTTTATCACTATCATCAGCTTTTTCATTAACAACATCATCTTCATCATCATCATCATCATCATCATCATCACCACCACCACCACCACCACCACCGCCGCCGTCGTCCTCGTCGCCGCCACCACCACCACCACCACCACCACCACCACCACCATCATCATCATCATCACCATCATCATCATCATCATCACCATCGTCGTCGTCGTCGTCGTCACCACCACCACCACCACCACCACCACCACCATCATCATCAACACCATCATCATCACCATCATCAACCTACTTTTCATTATCACCATCTTTGTTAACATTGGCATCAGTTTCATCATCGATATCATCATCATCATCATCATCATTGCCATCACCACCATCCTCCTCCTCAACACCATTAGTTATCAATTTTATCATTTTCATTATTACAGACCGATGTCCTACACTGGTTTTCCGCGGCACAGTCTCTTATTGGTGCTATGTCAGACTGTTGCCGAGTTGGCCTACCTTCCTACCTTCATGGAATCTTAATCAACTGGAGCAAACCCTTAGGACATTTCATGCATTTCGTTGCCAGGTAGGTTACTGAGGTTACTTTTCTCAAAGTAAATGTCATCTAAATTTGTTCAAAAGATCTTTTGGAAGAGGTTTTACTTTTTGTCCACATTCCTGTGAGTGAGATTTTAAAGCCCGTCTGCACTAGTTTGGCCAGGAGGGATTATACTCCACTGCAAGATCACTGACAGGTGGTTATCTCATCAAATCAGCTCTCAATTAACATAAGGAAAAGTGGATCATGGAGACCAACAGGCACCGATTAGGCATTGTTTGCTATATAGAGGGCGCAAGTAGCTATAAGTAGTGCAGTGGGGCTTTAAGGCTTGTCCAGTGATTGTTGCTACCTTGCATCAGTGGAGAAAGAACGAATTAAGCTAATAGTAATTATTTGAGCAACAATCTGTGTGAAATAGACAATTCTGTTACTAGATTGTGATGAATATGATTCATGAAAAAGACAGTAAGAGTTGGGGCTTTTTGGTCATGCTTGCATTTGTATTATCGTTCAAAAAAAAAAAATCAGTGTGATTGAAGAAAATATTGATGAAGTTTTTTGCCCTCTATCCTTTTCGTTCATGCCTGCAGTCCAAACATAGCAAAGAAAGACTACCTCAGTGCAATCGATGATAAACTGGAACGGCTCTGGATCGATCTCACCACCACCGTCCAGAATCGCTACTCAAGCGGCTTTGATTCGGCCTTCCTTCACGTGATGGCGCCAGCATTGGAGGCTGCGTTCACTTACAAGAAGCGGAGTTTGCGAAATTACACTCTCATCTTCTGGACAGCTACCTTCGGGAATCAAGACTCACTGCAATATCCTGAAATCCTGAAGTAAGTGTTGCATTCAGAGATTTTGGTGTCAAATTTCATGCAATTCTGTGTTTGATATTTGCTTTGTTAAAACAAAAAATGAATTGTTCATAGTTTGTTCGACAAAGTTCTCTGTCATTACAAACTTGTAAGTTGTTCTTCAATCAGATGGCTTCATAAGTAAAAAACAAAAAGAAATCTTTCTTGTATAACACCAGTCCTGCATCAAAGAGAATCAATGACGAAACAAATATTTGCTTCATTTGTTTTGGGTTCCATGCCTGTTACTAAATTTGAATATTACTCTCTTAAAGAGAATTTCTACCAGAAATACTCCCTAATGAAGCTAAAAAACATCTTGTAAGCCTGTACACACGATCATATAAGCATGGACCCAAAGTCCAAATATGGGGCCTCTGCTCAGTGTTATGTCTTATCTTATTTCTTCATACTCAACCTGTTCTCAACTTCTCATGATTTCTTTGATTTTCAGACCATGTTTAGCCAAGATGAAAACGATTGGAGAGATTCCTCTTCCAGGCTGGACAGAAACGGAAGGTGTTTGCGGGGAAACCCCGGTCATTCCAGAGGTGAGATTGCTAGTTTTATATCCCCTGACATTCCCAAATGTTTGTAGGGTAATATATAAGTTGGTTATTTGTTGGAATGATTCTGTTTAATAACACTTTCAGGACAATATTTCCACATTTTGTGATTTGGCTCAATACCTTTTTGTTATGAGCCCTAACAAATATACCAGATCCATGAGTAAAAAGAGCAAAAATTTCTTGCATAAACATATTGCATTTGATGCTAGGAATTTTAAAATGGAATATCAGCTTTTACACTTCTCAAATCTGCAATATGTTCTCAGAGGTTCAAAATCATTATTTTTTATCAAAATTATCAATTAAAAAAAAAAATTGACGAAGTTCCCACAAATAAATATTGCTTTTTAGAGACATTACATTTTATCAAAAAATAGCAATAAGTTTTGTTGTTGCCAATTTAAAGAAAAAAATGTGACCAATTTAACCCTTAAAATAAATCTTGTCCAGAAGAGAAAAGGCGGTGTAGGTTTAGAATATTGACAAGAATGGTGTTTGGATTCTGATGAGAATGTTCCATTGAGAGTTGAGCTACTGGTTGGGGATTCAAATTAGAGTTGGTGATTTCACTGATTTCAGACAGTAACTATCGAGGTTGATCCAAGACATAAACAATCAAGATTTGGTTGATGTACATATGTAAGCCCAATTACCCATGTACCCACTCTACTAAATACACATAACATTGGCCTCTTATGGTAACATAACTACTTTTAACGTATAACGTTAAGCAATTTTACACAGAAGTATGTTTGTATCCTGAAAATTAATGCTAAAACTAATCTGTTTGTTGCTTTCCGTAAAGACCGAAGACCCTGATGATGTCATAGCTCCGCCCGCCCTACCCGCAATCCCCAACTTTGGAGCCCCGTCTCCCCAGAAAATGCACGGCAGCTTCCTCCATCGACTGGACGACGCCAAGAAGCTCCTAGCGGCCTCATCGCCGGTCAAAGGTCAGATGACCTCACCAGGGCGGGGCCGGAGGATCCAGACGTACTCTCCTGGGTCCGCAAAGAGGAAGCAGTTCGCGTCGCCCATGGCAATGGATGCTGCCAAGAGACGGCTGCATGTTGATGAGGATAAGAATACGGTAAGTGACATGTTGATTTTAGGAGTGATGAAGGATTTATTATTGTTATTATGCTTGTGTATTGAATAGATTTGTGAACATTAAAGAAAAATATGTTGGTGCCCTGGCCTTAACTGTAAACAAACCTAGTTATGCTCCATTCAAATCACACTTCAGTTTCATTTATTCTTTTGTTGAAAATTCCATTGTAGTATTAATATTCTCATTAATATTCTCATTATGTTTGATTTTTTTTCCACTGATTTTTATATAACATATATATTTGTGTCTCAGATATGTATTTTTTTTTTAAAAAGACATTATCCAGAGCATACACATACAGCATTTGTGTATTAAAGACATATTTGGGCATTTCTTGTGATTTTTGGCATGGATTTTCATTTTATGACAAATCTGCTCCACAATTCGTTTCCCTAGACTTTAACTTTTCTTTTCCCCTCTATTAATGAAAGCTGATATCTAGTTACCTGATTAACACAATTCTCGACTGAGAATCATTTGTTTATTTTGATTATTGTTATGGGTGCCTTTCCAGATAAATACATTTTGATGAGTCTATTATGTTCTCTCAAATTCAAGGTTAATGTTCAGCCAAAAAATGATAACAAATAAAGACTTATTCATAACTTTGATACAAGATGGTTGTAGTGTGCCTTTATTCGATCAGTGCATTGATGGAAACTGTGCACGGTACATTGGGTGATGCGCTTACATACACTCTCGTGTCAAGATATGCATAGTCTTAATTTTCAGACGTCATACATAACAGAGTCTCTTCTTTTTTTGCTATGCATAACAGGCCTTTGTGGTCATCTCGTCCGAGCCGAAGAAGAAGCGTGTTCTGACGGAGCACCAGAAGGAGGTGATGAGGACCAAGCGGGTCTCGCTGGCCCTCTATAACGGCTTGGACCAGTCCCAAGACACCCAGGCCTTTACCCAGACCCAAAGCCAGTCCCAAGCATCGTAAGTCAGTTTCATATGTCAGGCCTGATAAAAACCTAATTTAAATTGGTTTCCCAATTTATTTATTTTTCCTGATTTTTTTAGATTTTTTTACCCATTTTTTTTTTTAAACCCTGATTCTTCCCTTATTTTCTCTATCCCCTACTTTTCCCTATTATTTCCCAATTTTTCTTACTCAAAAGGGGAAATGTTGTAAGATGCTATTCCCCCCCCCCCAATTCTTTCTTGTTTTACTCAGGGGGGGGGGGGGGGGGGGGGGGGCGTGGTGCTCACTATCACACCTGATATGTATCTTGGGTTAATTGTAGGGTATCTGGACAGTTCAGCCCCCAGCTACTTGTTGCTTTTTTGCACTAAAAAGATGAAAGGTCAATTTAAGCTGCTGAAATCTTTGCATTTCATTGGCTTTGAGCAAGTTTCTCATAAGAATGTGTCAGTTGTCCATGAGGAAAGCTGTATAAAATGGTAGCTTGATCTAATTTCTGTACTGATATTTATTCTGGAATATATATATTTTGGAATACAGAGTAAAATACAGTGATTGTGAATCAAAAACTATAAATCTATTAGAGGTATCAATGGCTTTGGATAATCAGCTTTTGTAAAATAGTGATACTAGTTTTTATATGAAATTTGATCCTCTCTGGACACTCTTGTTCACGCCGGTAGGGAAATGACTTTGAACAACCAGGGCCCCTTTGCATAAAACTTACCATTGATGACTACCATGGTAACAGGGCTCAACAGCCAATCAAATTCAGGGTTTCCATGGTAGTTACCATTGATGGTAAGTTTTGTTCAACAAGGCCCTGAATGTTGATAGAAAAAGAAATGAAAATGAGTTGTTAGATTGTGACACAATGACTCATGTTTCTCTGATGATGGTTGTTCTACAACGTGATGACTTGTGATGTTTTCTGATTAATTAATGCTTTCTCATTTTATTTGTTTGTTTGTAAAGATCTCCAGTACCTACCCCGGAGGTGGAGGACCTACCAGATGACGCCAAGAAATTCAACTTCTCAGAGATAACAGGACAGAAGTCAACAGCGGGAGAGGAAATTCAGAAAGAAAAGAAGGCAGAAGAAGAGATGAAGGAAACCGAGGAAGAAGACAGCGTGGTTGTTTTGCCGAGCAGCCAAGAAAAGACACAGAAGCCAGCCCGGAGGATCGTGACCTTCTTTGAACCAGTGAAGAAGTCGTCCTCGCCGATCAAGGATTCGGGGCAGATGCTGATGGAGGATGGAATTGATCACCATGGTAACAATACCAAGGATGTTGATGCTGATGGTAGTAATGGAGAGACATGGAGTGATGCTGTCCAGGAGCTGCAGTCAGACTGTGAAAAGGAATCATCTGTAGTGATTGTGGATGACACTTGCCCGGATGTATCTCAAGGGGAATTAGGACTACTATCAGGTGCGGATGTTGACAAGGACGCAGAAGGGATGGAGGAGGAAGGTGGAGAATTTGTGGTGCCAGAGACACAAGAAGAATCGGTGAAAGAACCGGGTGATTCTTATGTTTCCAACACCGTTATGCCAGTGGTTGTTGGTGAGAGTCCAGTGAAGGATAAAGTCATTCCAGAGTCATATGTAGAGAGCCCTAGCAAGGATGACAACCCTTCAATTGCTCAGGAGGAAAGTCCTTCAAGAGATGTTTTGGATGCTGAAGATTTGATGGATGTCCTTCCAGATGGAAGATTCCAAAAGGTCATCAGCACACCAGTTATCAAGCTGCAAAAACTTAGCCAAAGGGAAATTGAGCTATACAGTCCAAGGGCTGCAAGATACAGTCAAGAAGACACCCAAGAGCAAAGTCCCTTTAAAAAACCTCAGGATTACGAGCTTGCAGGAGGTTCAGATGCAAGTAGTCCAAAGATGCAGAGTCCCGGACAATCCTCACCTGCCGGGACACCGCGTCTAAGGAGATACAGATCAGACGAGATACACAACAGGAAAGGAACACCAAAGTCAGCTCGTAGGTCAAACTCTGTTAGTGAAGTGTCGAGTCCCAAGAGTAAAGTCAGCCACACAAAGAAAGCGACAGACCTGAATATCCTACAGGCTAGTCAACAGGACCTAGCAGATTTGGCTGAGAGGTACGAGCTGGATGGGATAGCGCCCTTGGGCGATGACCTAGACCAGAGTATCGAAGAATGCCTAGCAAATTTGGACAAACAGGATGGTGAGACGGATGATGATCTGCCGTCGGTGGACTACGGTCAGACTCAGAAAAGTGATGAAGTCATGCCAGACTCTGAAAGGATGGAAGACCATAGTGTTGATCGGGAAGTGCCAGATGAGGATGTTCTTTGTAGTCAGCAAGAACTGTTCTCTAGTACCATGGATGAGACGGGCATGGATGAGACGGTCATTGAGGTGATGCCTCATTCCGTTGAGGAGGTGCCTGAAAGGGATGTTGTTGAGACTGAGAAATCTGCTGAAGTATCCTCCCAAAAGTCAACAAGAAGGAGGAGCGGAAGGTCTCGAAAATCCCAGAGCAGTAAAGAAGAAGTTGCTAGGTCACAAGAGGAAAATGAGGAGGAAACCTCCCAGGATTCTACTTGTGCAGACAGTGACAATGTGGAACAAGTGACGACAAGGAGAGGAAGGTCAAAGCTTTCTCAAAATTCAGAGAATGAAAGAAATGAAAGCCAAGAAAAGAGTAGCATTGCAGAGGTTAAAAATACTGCAAGAAGGAGAGGGAAGCCAAGAAAAACGGAAGATGTTGGTGAGGAAAGTCAGGCTTCGGAGAGTGGAGAGAAAGAAACAGAAGAAATTAAACGCAAGAGGAGCAGACCCCAAAAGACTTGTGATCGAGATGAGGATAGTCAATTAGAAGAAGCAGAGGAAGGGAAAAAGTCTGAAAAAACGAGAGGAAGGCCGGGAAAAGAAGATGAGAAGATAAGTTCTTTAGATAAAAATGATCAAGAAACTGATAGTGAAGTACTAGGTACTCCAACTAAAAGGGGAAGATCTAGGAAATTTGAAGGAAATGAAGGAGGTAGCCAGAAACAAGATTTGGGGAGTCAGGAAGAACTTACAACTATTGGAAGAAAGAGAAGGCGTCAAAGGAAAAGTGATGTTTTCAAAGACCAGAAAGCGTCATCACAAGAGGACCAATTAGAAGTTTCTGAAGGAAAGAATGAAGACGCTTCAGAAAGGCTTGCAGCAGATGCTGATTTGTCTCATGAGAAACAGCAAGATGAAAAGATGGTTCAGAAAGAATGTGAGAATAAAGTCTTGCCAGAAGTAGAAATGACTGCTCCAAACAGCGTGACCGAGCCTGAGGCAAATAGCAGTTCTGAAGACCTCTTTGGAACTCAAAGTGAGACGTTACCTAAAACTGGTGACGATACTACAGACCCTCAGTTGAATGACTGTGTTTCAAGTGACGATGATGATGTTCCCCTTGTCCAGATCAAGGCATCGCTGCAGAGCAAAGCAGACAAAGAATTCAAGCCATCGGAGACGAACGATGCTGGTAATTCATCTGAAGATTCAGAGGTAGACTTTCCAATCATGACACCAAGTAACAGGGAGGACAAGGTCAGCCCTACAACAGAGACACCGCCTAGAGATCAACTGGCTGATGTGCTGACTAGGCTCAAGGAGAAGGATACTCCAAAGCATGATCTGTCTGCTTTGAAGGAAGAGGAGGTTTTAACTGTGACAAGGTCTGGACGGAAATGCAGACCAAGTATAAAGATAAGATGTGCTAAGGACATTCTCAGGAAAGCCTTGATGTCACCGGATGGAAGACACAAGCTCAGTAAAGCAAAAGCTGCCGGAGCATTGAAGTCTCCTACAAGGATATCACCAAAGGCTCTTCGATCAATGGCCCAGAAATTAGCGATGAAGGAAACATCTCCCATCATTGGTAAGAAAAAGCATAAACATAGAAGCCACTCTCCAGAAAAGAAAGATGCCTTAGGAGCTGAGGAGGCAGGGCTGAAGGCAGGCACAAACTTACCAAACGAGGATGTTTCTACGTATGCAATATCTCCAAAGTCACTAAAGGCCTTAGCAGAGAAGGTAGCGCAAGATCTCTCCCCAGAACGGATTCTGTCTCCGCCAAAGGTCAGGTCAGCAAGAAGATCTCGCCCACTTTCCCCCAAAACCTCCTCCCTTAGCAGCAGTCAAATCCTGCGCAATGCCAGGTCCGGAAAGTCCTCCAAGCGGTCAAAATCACCAGTGTCTAAGCGGCTGAGGTCCAAGAGGCTGCTACTCTCGCCTGGACCCATTCAGACAAGAGAGGGCACAAAGCTCTCCAGGATGGAAATCAAGAAGCGCAACAAGACACAGAAGGCCACAAAGGGACACCTTGAACAGCCCCAAGAGGAGAAGAATAGCATTGATGACATTGTTGGCGGTGAACAACCAAAAGAGGGAGCTGATCACGAAGCTGATGAGAAAGTGTCAAAGCAAGCAGAGGAAGTTATTGTCATCAAGGATACCATGAGCCAAGAGATGGATGAGGACAGTACTCAAGTGGAAGAAGAGAGATTTGAAGGAGGTCTAGTCAAAGGAACAGATCAGACCTCTGAGACAGAGATCAAGGATAATGAGAAAGATGGGAATGAGTGTATCACAAATGTTGATGCAAGTTTGGATGCTGTTGACGAGGATGGTGATATTGAAATGAAAGACTTGGAGCAGATGATGTCCCAAGATCATGAGGTACCTAAAGTTGATGAAGTTATCCTTCAGCAACCACAACCTCAAGAAGCAGAAGATGTAGCTGAGTTTGAAAACAAAATAGGAGAACAATCAAAAGACACTGAAATCCCTGCAGCTCAAGATATTACTTCATCAGAAGAACACCTTTCAGAACCTGTCCCCGTGGAACAAGACTTGAAGAAGGATTTTCCAGAAAAGGATGATGATGGTATTAAACAAAATGATGCAGGCTGGATGAAGACGAGATCTAAAAGAAGCAGTCAGAGATTAACATTTGGAGAAGAGGGTGACTCTGTAGAACGATCTTCTGAAAAAGAAAGCAGCGCTCTCAGAGAGGTGGACAAACTCGAGGATGTACAGGTTAAAGAGGACGAGTCAGACAAGTCAGAAAGTGATGGGGATGAAGATAGTGATGATGATGAGACTAGCATTGAAAGTGAAGAGTCAGGAGAGGAGGAGGAGGAGGAGAAGGAGGAGCAAGTGATGGAGGCAGAGGGAATGGATGGTTTACCAAAGAGCACAGACACCTTTGTCAAAGATGGAGATCTGGAGGAGGTAAAAGGAACTCCCATTGGTGTGGTATCTTCAGGGCTGGATGTTCAAGGTATGTTATTCTGAATCTGTGAATATGTGTGATCCAAGTTTGGTGTAACTAGAGATTCTAAAGGGAGAACTTGTTTCTTTGGGCGATAAATCTGATTAATATGTGAATTAAATGTTTTTTAACATGTTTAATTCTATCCTATAAGAACAATAATTTTTACTCAAGCCCACATTACATGTGTGTTAGTTGAAATATAATTGTAGAAGACTAAAGCCGTATGTAATTGCTTTTTAATTAAAGTATGATTTGTAGAACAAGGGGCTGAAAAATTGTGCTGAGTTTTTGCCCCACAGATTCAGTTGATGGTAACCCATTGACAACTTAATTCTTTCATCACCCTAGGTTTCATACAGGAAACATACAGTTCCAATTGGCAATTGCATGTGAGTGAAATAGTGAGATGAGGGATCTTACAAGTATTACAAGAACAAGAACACAAACCTACTGTTATTATTACATATTAAAGGAACTTTCTAGTCTCCAAAATTCAATGAAGTGTTCCGTAGTACTAATGATGGTGAATGTAATTGGCTTAGCTTGAGGTCTCTGAACAGACAGCTCTCACTAATTATGGACCTTTTGTACTGCCTTCCACTCCTTAGATACCTTAGATGACATCATCAACAGCAGTCAGAGTCCGCTGAAATTTCTACCTGAGGAGGATAGTGTCCAGCCAGAGGGTACAACCGACTCTTCATCCCAGCGGCTAACCTTCCCCAACCTCTCCCCACCAGAGATGGACAACCAAGCCTCCCCTGAGAGACTTTCTATGGCCTGCATGACCTTGGGTCCGCCGCCGTTTCGGGTCTCTCCCATCATTCCCACCAAGTTCACCCCGAGGACGCAGGGTTCGCCGGAAGGGGCGAGCATGCGACCCAGGTGGCCTAACCAGGTCGACTCTCCAGAGGGCAGTATACCTCACATGTACTCGCCCACTGCATCACCAAGCAGTGGGATTCTGAAGCGCCGTGATATGATTGGAAGCAGCTCTCCATCTCCCTCCAGCAAGGCAAGCCAGTTTCACAAAGCCATTTTTCAATGACAAATGACAAAATTCAGTGAAGAATCTGTTGATAACCAATCAGAAGCAAGGATTTCAGTAGCTTATAACAAAAACTGTCATTTGTCACTGATGACAAGTTTTGTGAAACGCCCCCTCCCCCCCCCCCCCCCCCCCAGGAGTATCTTGGACAATCAATCAATCAATCCGATAAATGTAACATTGTGTTTATAATTGGGCGAGATACTTTTGATCTCATTGTTCAGCTGTACATGATATGAAAATCACAACTGTCGACTCGCTCCCATATAACAAAATGACTAAGCCACCACTGCCAACCAAACTTATTTGGGGGTCTTCAAATTAATTTTATGCACCTTAGATTCCTTTTGTTTTCTGAAGATGGCTATGTTAAACCGTACAAAAAAATCAATGTTACTTTGAGAGATTTCTACTTTTTTCTACTCTTTTCTGTGCAAGGTTGGGAGGCATTTCAAGCCATCGTTTTTTTGTGTTGCTTCTCATGAAGCTTGAATTCAACCTTTAGATTTCAATACCATGTAGAATTAAATACACTTCAGCTCTGTTGTGGAAATTTTATCCTCTCAAGATAGTTTTCTAAGTTTTGATGTTAAAATCTTCTTACCATTGTCAACAACAGAGCCGTCGTGTGAGTTTTGCCGACAAGGTATTCATAGAACCTGAACCCCTGCAAGACCACAGCGCTGATCCCAAGATTCCTAAGACTGCCGACAGCTCTCTCTTGCACGGGTTGGCACAAGATTCCTCCAGAGGGCGCCTTCCAATGTCTCCTCTTGTCACCACGGCTTCATCGAAAGTACATAATTCAAAGGTAAGCTCTCATGGATTCTTTTTCCCTCCATATTGTAGACATTTTCTCAAAGAATGATAGCACTTGTATATATTGTACAATGCTACAATGAACAAATTTTGCAAAGGCTAAGGGTAATTAGTCCCCTACACACTTAACCCAATAGCAGCGAAACCGCTCGTCCGTTTCGTTCATTTTCAATGCGCTATAGTATTCGTTCTAGGGTTTACCGTTATACGTGCTTAATCCTTATGATGTCTACAGTAGGATTCTGCATAGAAATATAGCGCATGTTTCATATTGTTCATAAAAATGTCAAAATGAGAGCAATATTGCAACATCTTCCAGTGAGTAATAGGCCATTTTTACAAAATCTCTAGTTGCTAATGGGTTAACAACACCAACATGAATCAAGAAAGGACAACAATAATTACACTGAACATGATAGACTTGATGCACCAGGTTTGTGAACAGCTTTTGTAAAATCTTTTTTTTTTAAATCAGACTTTGTCTAGTAAAGCTTTGTTTTATTATCCAGCAGGGCAGTAAAAGATTTTTTAAGGGAATAAACTTAACAATGGAGAAGAGGGCCCTGTTTCATAACACTTGTTAACAGTAACAAGTTAAAATAACTGTTATAAGCTATTGAAATCGTGGCATTCGATTGCTGAGATCAAATTTGTCATAGAAATTTAGCATTTATTATTGATAAAAACAAATTTGATATGGAGTCCTGGACTTGCAATGGCTATGATTTTCTTCCTGTAACTTTAGATATCTCCATTGTTAACTTGATTCCCTTCGAAAATTTGTTACAGCCCAGATACATTAATGAACACTTATTTTAATGCACAGGATTTGCCACCTATGGCATGTGAGGGTACAAAGTAGTTCATGACAAATTTCATTTATTTGCTTTTGCCTTGTGACAGTACATCACCACGCCATCGAAGTCGGATTCCAGTCAGTCCTCATCGTCATCACCATCATCGTCGTCGTCATCATCATCCAGTACCCTGCATCGATTAAGAAGGAAGAGCCCCCACTCCAGCCGGCGTATGAAGAGCAAGCCCGTGAAGAGCTTTCCCAAGTCATCCTCCTACGCCAGCAAGGTCTTCAACATGGTAAGTCTGGGACCTGTTTCACAAAGCCTTTTTTTTTTAATTGACAAATAAAAAAATCAGTGACAAATCTGTTGACAACCAATCAGAAGCAAGGATTTCAGTAGCTTATAACAAAAACGGTCATTTGTCACTGATGACAAGTTTTGTGAAACTCCCCCCCCCCCCCCCCCAGTCTAGTTTGTCATGATGGTCGTTGTGAGGGAAACGGAGGCAAAGATAGAGAAGACGATGTTGTGTGCCCTGGAAAGGGTGTGAATCAATGCAAAGACATCAGTTTTACAGCATAAAATCACATCCCAAAATTTTGAATGTTTCTTGTGTATATCTAAACAATTCATTTCAGATTGTTGCATTTTCTGATCATTTAAATTCATAGTTTTACTTCAGCAATCTAAAGATATATTTTTGTGCCAGTCTGCCGGATTCTAGTAAGGCCTAAAAAAATAATGTTGTATTGCCCTCTGCGACCGACCCCAAAATCTTGAAATCTACGGTTGGCTTTTTAAAATATCAGCCCAAAGAGGGAGAAGAAAAAAATTCTACCCGACCAACCCATGTTTTGGCACGTAAACGGCAATACGACATCATTATTTTTAGGCCTAATGAAGGGTCTTTGTGAGGGATTAAGGGGAGAATAATAATTATGGTTAAATTTCCATTAGCAACAGGGCAGAAATATAAACCTCTTTTCCCCTTTCATCTATTATTGCCCCTTCAGGTTAATCAAAACCAGGAGAGCATGAAGAAACCAAAGGTCTCCTCTCAGAGTACCCAGGGTTCATTGACCCAGGGGAGCCCCTCCACACAGGTCGACAGTAGCCTGGAAGCCCAGGGGGAGAGCCAGGGGTCCGTGTACCCCGCCCTAGCGAAGTGCTCCCTACCGGTGGAGAATGTGCTTCCTCGTCTGACATCCTCCATGTGGTGAGTTTCGCCTGAAGCCCAATTTAGAGGTGCCGTAGTCGAGTGGTTTGAGCATCTGGCTGGAAATGCAAAGGTCGTGGGTTCGATCCCTGACACAGCACTAATGTCCTTTGGCAAGGCAATAATCTTACATTTTCCACTCCAGACACAGAAGAGAAATGGGGACCTGGTAGGATTACGAAAGCCTTTGTGTTAGTATTTGCCGTATGCCCCCACGATGACCATATTTTAGGAATACTCCCCAGGGAGTGGAGACGGTGCATTTTGTGCAAGAATAAATCATATGATTGGGGTAATAATTTCTGCAAGGTGCTAAGAGACAGTTTTCGTATTAAGCGCTATATAAATCAAGGTTATTTTTAATTTAGAGTTAACATGGTAATCAGTTACAAAAATCCATAGGGGCTTATATTTTCATGTAAACAAAGATGGCAAGATTTATTTTGGAGGTGTACAATCATAGCTGTGTTATGCACTGATTATTCCAGTAAAATTCATGTTTGCAAGTGCATTAGTGAATATGCACTGCACAATGCCAGAGTAAATGTCACATAACAGAATGAGAACATTTGATATCATAAGTTTTCTTGTTTGTCTTTCTTTTGTTCCAGGTCTAGAGGTCTAGGCCAGCTAGTCCGAGCTAGGAACATCAGGACCATTGGGGACCTGTCGTCTCTCTCACCCATGCAGGTAAGAAATAGTCTATTTGATACAGACCCTTGACAGTCACTTTATCACAATGTAGGCAAAGTGTTCATTGAGCTAATTTTTGATGTTCTGTTGTAAAAGAGAGATTTCCTTACATACATATCTATGTATTTCATTATTTTTTACTAGAGCTTTCTTTAAAACGTTCTTGAGAGATGTTTTGGACCTTTTTAGAGCTAAAGTGCAAACCAATGCACATAACAGATAGGGGACCGCAAACTTGTGATTCACCGCAACTCTTTCTAAGACGGGGGCCCATATCTATATACTTTTTTTTAATTTAGAAAAAAATGAGATCCCTAGCATTCCACTATTAATGGTAAATACTTACTCCAGTAGAACCTAGGAAGCTACAACTTTATACCAAGACCAATTATTAACGTCTCTTTATAGAAATAACACTCCTCCTCCTCTCCTAATCTGCTCTAGGTCTGCTTTGTGATGTATTGTGGTTTTGATTGATCTGAGCGCAAAGTTCTCTATCAAAGTATGCAACTTATTTCCTTTTGATTCTATCAGGTTCAGTCACTGCCAATCAAGTCTCCCAAAGTCGGCCATCTCAAGAATGTCCTCTCAGCATTCCAAACAGAAAAGGTAATACATGGGACTGATCGATCCTTGGGTGGAATATTTGATTTTAAATGAAAGTCAAATTGTAATTGCGTGTTACTCTGATTATTCATGTAGTTAAGTACAAACTGGGTTTGTAACAAAAAATGAGAAATGTCAGGATATATATTTTTTGGTGTAAAAGGACATTTTTACCAATCCAACAAACCAACTCACCAAATATATTTTTTTTGGGGGGGGGATGGGGGGGGGGGAGAAATTTAGGCAGTTGCTTCCCAATACTTTGACACAAATATGTATTTTTTCTTCTTTTTTTAGTTCCCAGAGTCGAAAGGAACAGAAGTTGATTCACTTTCGAAGGCAGGCAGCAGTACAAAAGGTAAGAATTGTGAGGACGTTCATCTCTGTGAACAAAGTGATTGATTTGATTTATTTATTTCTGTTTGATTTTCTTTTTGTTGTACAGTTTTACCAATATATAACAAACAAATCATTGCGATTTTACGCATGACAAAAGAGTATATGTAAAATAAAGTAAGGCTGGCTGAAACTAATCAAAAACATCATTGCTTAAAATGTTTACCTCTGCAATATTCCTCAATATCCCCACATAGCATTTGCACTTTTAAGACTGTAGAGAACAGGATATGAAGAGGAGAAGGAGAAATAAAAATGTTTAAAATGTTTAAAACCCAGCTCAAAAGAGTAGGGGTGGGGCCCCAAAGTATGCTAATGGCATTTGCTGTGGGCTTTCTTTTGTAGAAGATTGGGCTGGGTTTATGGTTTGAGTAACAGTTGGGTTTTTTAACTCTGCGTTGTGGCGTGCGCCTGTAATCCAGCTAAAAGTGGAAGATACGAACTGATTCAGCCGAGGACGCAGGTTCGAAACTGAGTCACGTCTTTCGGATGGTGACGTTTAAAGGTCGGTCCCCAGACGTAAATAATCATATCTGATTGATAAACGTCTGTAAAAACCCAATACATACGCACACAGGTTTTTTAATTGAATTTGGTAGGGTTAGGTTTAGGTATAGTGTTTGACTCATAATTGAAGTGATTAATTATCATTATCAGAACACATGTCATACAAAGGCGTGTTTATACCACCGCCCTGATGATCCTGCTCCTTTTCATTGACAGATGATGGCAGCTCAACACCTCCAGGCAGACCACCAGGTCAAAGGTCAAACACAGAAGCCACGGAGGAGATGACCTCCAAGGATCCCTCGGGTAGCCTGTCGCCTCCCAGGAGTCCTCAGCCAGTGCCTGGTAGCGGTCTCCTAGGACGACTGGAAGGTCTAGTGTCGGACTTCAAAGATGGCGCCCTTGATTCCCTGCCTGCAGCAGAGTTGTTCCGAGCTCATCAACACGTCAATAATCTGACGGAAATTATCATGGGTGCGCTTAAGGCCAAGTGTCACTCACCTAGTATGACAAAAGATAACTGAGGTCAGAGTTTGAAGGTCAAGCATTAGTAGTGCAATGTTCTTTGGCAGGTTGACAACCCGACAGATATGGGTGCGGTTAAGGACGTCTGTCATTTACTTTGGAAAGTTCTGTTGTTCGAGACTCATCAACTGGTCGATCACTGGGTAGACATTTTCATGGACGCACTAAAGGTTAGGTGTCATAACTCCTGTCATAGTTCAAAGGACAAACATTGGTAGTGCAAGGCTCAGTGGCTGGTTGACAACCTGATAGACATCATGGATGCTCGAGAGGTCAAATGTCATTCCCCTAATATGACAAAATACAGTAACAGAAGACGGAGTTTAAACATCAGTTTTGTCTGAGTATCAGTGGCTTGATGACAATCTTAACAGAGAGAATCATAGATGACAAAGGACAAATAGTGAGCATAGAGTTCAGAGTTCAAAGATCAAAGCCTTTTTTAAAATTCTACTCTTACTGCCATGTGAACAAATTGATGAAACACAATCATGGATTCATCAAAACCCCAACTGAAAAACGAGAGAGGTTAGAGTTGAAGGGTCAGAGTATTTCCAGGCTCATTTTGCAAGGTTGTTGCAAGGTTAATTTGCCATTGATCTGTTTCTGATTCACATTTACTATTTTAACTTGAGAATACAGCTTGTATTTGATGGTGATTTCCTGTGACGTTATTACTTGTTTACAGAGCTTTTATCATTATTTCTTTTTACCAAAAAGCTCTCTTGGAGTTTTTATCTATTGTCAATTGAGTAGTTATGATTAGACTTTGATATATGCAATTTCTTTTCAGCTTCTACGAGATGCCAATGTGGTGACTTATATAAAGGTATCACAGATTTTTCTAGTCTGTTATTTTTGCTTTTCCTTTATTCAAGGACATTGACACTATGTTTCAATTTTCACCTTCTATTTAAGCAGCTCGATATGTTGGTGTCTTATTTCTGTTATGCAATCATATGTATTTAATTTGTGCGATGCTCACCTCATGCAGTTACATCTGCTTTATACTGTAAATATTACGGCAGCTTCATGTATCATTTTGTTTGTACTCTTGAATGTTCATTATAATTAATTTCATATTTCATGAACATTCTGTGTGAAAGTCATCATGTTACATTGTATTATATAATCATGCATTAAGCCTTTTCCAAAGAGGCAAATTCGTTCTTCTTCAAAAATGATTCCATTGTATTTATTATATATGTGTGTCAGTTGTTTTCAGTGGTTGGAATTTATTTATTGACTGAATTGTTAGTATTATATATGGTTTATGTAATCTGCCTGGCAATGGTTAATGGAATCACAGTATGGAAATCAACATGTAATATTGAATTCTACTGATTATACCACACTAAAACGTTCCAATGGTGCCATAGTGCATTGTTTTCCTTGCAGCTCTTATGCAATGCATAGTACTTATACCCTATAGAGAGCAAGGAAAACAGCACCAAAATTACAACATTAAATAATATAGATAAATACTGAAACAATTATGTATGAATAGGGCTAGTACAAAATGAAAGCTTTGGTACTGTACAACAATATAAAGAAATGCAAAGAAAAATATTTAGGGAAATAGTCTATTTGCTCAGTTGATTTTTTTAATTTTGCAACTAGTTAAAATATGATTTAATTTTGGTATAACACACTTTTTCCATAGACTTCAGCACAAGTTATTTCGGGCTCGGTTTTAAAGTGGTTTTAGCTTTTAGATCTCACAGTTTTACTGTTGCATTATTACTTTTCCCATAATTGATGATATTCAGAATTTGTAATGAATAATTATAACTGTTAGTTATTTGTTGGTATACATGTATTTTAGGGTTGAATGATTTTTATGATTTTGTATTTTGAAGCCATGAATGTTATTTGTTAATCTCATTTGATTGAAGTTGATTCACCTTATCATTATGACTGTTACATGAAATGGATTTAATTCTGGTGCTCTCATAAACCACCAGCAGCTAATATAATGCATGTACCTCTCTCGTACTCCACTGCTCATTCAATGTTATATTTATTTATTTAGCCCTGACCTTTTCCCTGGCAACACTTTACATGTATTTAATTAACAAAGGGTTTATGGTTGCGTTTAGGTTTTAGGTTAGGTTTAGGAATAGGTTTGTTTTAGCATTTAGTGCAGTGTTACAATACTTCTGTTTAAAGGGGCTCTTTTAGGAATTTGGTGTTGTATAAGTGCGATTTTCTCAGTGGTATTTAGGTACTTTACTGTGTTTTACCAGAGCTCATTTTCAGAGCTCTTTCCAAGCTTTTGAGAGCTAAATCACTCGCCGCTCAAGATCATTTTTTTGCTGGTTAGGCGTTATTTGGTCCAGGGCTGAAGTGAGAATTTGGTTTGTGTATGATAATGACCGCAAAGCATTTTAACCAGAGCATGTGTTAAGATATATTACTTTTTTTTAAAGTTAGGGTATAACAAGCAATTTCCTTAGACCCCGGCCCAAGCCTTCTTTGATTTGTAAAAGATCACACATTAGTAATGGTTAAGCCTAACATTATGATAGAAAACTGTTCAATAGTGTGTTTACATAATTTTTTATCGCCAGTGGTTCGATGATAAAAAGCGCCCTTTTTGTAAATAATTTTGTACTATAACAAGGGGGCAATGATGATTTCTTGTAGACGTAAGTTTTTAATATGTGAACGAAGGATGGTCTTAAAGTGTAGGCAGGTGAATGTCATTTTGTATCACTGTCAAATTTTGAGATATGATAGGATATTAGTGTTCTATGAAGATATTGTGGATTGTGTTTTTTATGCCTTTTTTTTTCTTTCAATTTGAGATGTTAATAAAGATATTCTAATGATAAAAACAAATATTTGTTAGATGAGCATTGATTATTACGTATGAAATTGGTGCCGTAAAGTTGAACTGTAAATTCAACAAGGAAAATATTATGCTGCAAATCGAAATGACAACTTCTTAGAATCTAGTCGTGGCCAGTCGTAAAGGGGAGGGTTTCTCTCTGTAAATCTGTAAATGATGGTGGTAATGATGAGAATTACTGATGCTGATTGTAATGATGATGGTGATTATAGATTGGGGAGGGGGGACGTGGGGAGGGGGGACGTGGTGATGGGGAAGGGGTAAAATAAGAATGCAGTGTGGAGGGAAGAGGGTACCAAAAATTATACATGTATGAATTTTCATGGAGTGAATTCTGAACGTAACGTGGCAAAAACGCAACACAAAGAAGAAACACAGGTACACAAGTTTTTAAGTTCATCAATATATAGATATCTATATGTCAATCTGCACAATATATAATTTAAAACTCCACATGATGTCGGGAACAAGCATGGAATGAATGATACAAGAAAGATTGTCATGGAAACAAAGTTAGCTGGAAGAATAAGAGACAAGAACACAAGTCCACATAAAATATATAGAATTTCACAAGAGACACAAACCAGGAAAAAATATCACTTTCTATACCAACTTTCCTACTGACACGAACCATTCGCTATAAACATTTTTATGTACTTGTATCGGTCTATACAACTGATATTTTATAGCTACATACTGCATGTATGAAGTACTGTTCTACAGGGGAAAAAATGCCCAATATTACATTGTTATGAGACATAACATGCACAAGTATGTGTATGTTGTGCATGACTGACCATTTTGTTATTATTGCAATCTTTTTTCTTTTTTATACCACTGGTCGAACAAGCCTTTGTCTAAATTATATATGTATGATGAATTGTGTGTCCGGATGCTTTTAAGAGAAATAAAGCCGTCACCTTGTCTTAGTATATATAGAAAAGTATGCATCAATTAGCACTAAAAAAAACATAAATATTTCTCTTTCATAATATATTAAATCTTAACAGATTTATAAAACATTTTATGAAAATTTCTTTGTATCACCGATTTAAATCAACTGTCCGGACACACAACTTTTGGGTATACCACGATTTTGGCAATTTAGAAATTATAATGGCTTGATTTTACTAAGAGGTAAACATATACATTATAATAAATATTTAATTCACTTCCACAAACTGGTACTGTACACTCTATTTCTCTCTTTCTCTCTCTTGTTCTCTACAATTCGTTGCTGGTTTTGCAAACTGAAGTACGCTAACAGGTCAAGTACAGGAGATATGGTGGTTCACAAAACCATGCAGCAATAAATTCTCCAAAACAGCAATTTTGCTGGGGTCGAATATGCTTTCAAATTCTCTTTAATTGGATAACTCATGACAATTTAAGATGAGTTTTAGCAGCCAGTGCAGAATGTCCTAGCTAGAACATGTGGCAAGCAAACAACAGTGCAGAGAGGTGCAGAAAACAATCTAGGTATGTCAATTGCTACAACTTTTTTTTAAAGGCCTGCAGCAGTTTACTTTACTGCATCACATATGGGCAAGCATTTAGTTGCATTGTTACATAGTAGGTCCATTGTTACATGCAACCATTTTTAAATTGTTTTGACAGTTCATTTTGTAAGTAAAATTTTTATCATTTCACCATGGTAAGTTTTAGAGGTGGTTTATCACATAGTTTGTTGACAAAGCTTCAAATATTATTTACAAAGTAAATATAATATATGTCACACAACCAAGCACTTACTCAATGAATACAATCTACATTTCTATTAATCAGATCAATAATATACCTCATAGTACATGTCAGTAAAAGTAAATGTTGTGCAAAAAAAAATTCTGACTTAAATTCTGATTTAAAATACCATGTACCTAAATGTATCCTAAGAATATATATTACTGAAAACTGTAAACATAGCAGCAAGACAGTTCATCACAAACCTGATAAGAGTTCTTTTTTTCCCCCAAAGTTTTTTTGTCCTTCACTGTTCATTTCTTAAACAGTTATATAAATTGTTGTACAACTCTAGGCCTATACTGTATCTGGCATGAACTAAATGACAATAAATAAATACAAAACTATATTTGCATGGGACTACTACTGCATCAATATATAGGCCTATATTGCAAAGGAATAAATCAGACCAACCCATACAATGTTTCAGGTAAAACACTGGCCTATATTGTCCAATCAATGCATCCAAAAATCATAAATTACTTGTAAGAACACATTTGACTAACATGTATCGATCTGTAATCTTCTTTGGTAACAGTTTGTCCAAACAAAAGAAAATCATTAATTTTGGTAAAGGTTTGTCCAAAAAACAAAATACATTATTTCTTTCTCCATTTGTGCAGTCAATAGACTAGAAATGATGTCCTGTATATGTGTACATGTATGTACATGTCAGAGACACACATGTACACATACAAAGATTAATTTTCAAAAATAAGAGAAATTTCAATGAGTCCACATATGTTTTCATGTAATGCAAAACAAAAACATTCATATTACTGACCTGGAAAAATGTCATCTTGTTTCCAATATTGCCAATGGTTGACCTAAATATAAATAATCCCTTTTCCTGTAAAACATAATATATTCTGAATTCATTCAACCATATATTGCAACAAGGGTTACAAGATTAATCTCTCAGTCCATTAAAAGTGCCTTTAACACTTCTACACATGTGTACTGATTGTGCTACTAAAAATTACACATTTGTCAAGCTCAAGTGTACCAATCACCTAAAAATATAATTTGTGTCCAGCTAGCTATAAAATGTATAAACTCAAACTCAAAAACTTGAACCAGCATTCTAAGGGTTAATGAATAAGGAGTATGAAGAAAATAAATAACAACATAAAACTGCTTAAACACGGATCCCAAGTTGGACTTCGGTTTCCTGCAGGCTCTATTCAATGCGAGCACAAACGAGTGCGGCGAGTAGTCTTCTCACAACCCTCTTTTCTGTAATACATGAGAATATATATATTTAAACTCTCAAAAATCTCTTTACAGAAGTATTATTTGAAGCTCAATTTTGTTTTACTGTGGTATAGCAACATGGCACTACTAACACTCAGAACAAATTATCTTTTGGGGATTGGTACACTTTAAGTTCTCCATACTGCACATTCCGAATTTCCAATGCTTCCAATTAATACACATGATTTTAGAGTTCCAAACTTTTGGATTTGTCTCTCGTTTATATGCCTTCCATTAGAGCACAGTTTTGTGTCTACATGTACCTTTTCACATGTAATTCTTTTCCAGTAGGAAGATATAAAATGCAGTTTCACCACAAAAATACAAATCTACATCTCTATACATAATCTGTCGCATGCATAGAATAAAAACATCCCATTTCAAATAAAAATGTACATAACATATACCACACATAGCACACAACATCATAATAGATAATGGGCTGTATCTATGAAAAGCATTTGCTAAAATAGTTACAATTGATAATGATATAAATAACAATAAGGATATACTAATAAAAAACAAACATCCACTCAGGGTGCTCGATCGAGACTCCTAGCCTTACAATCCAAAATACTTTATTCACTGCAAAATATTAATGGGCAAGTCACAGATATTCAATAAACCGAAATGAATACTGCAACTGTCACTTTCCTTGTAATTTGGTCTGATTCAAACTCTACTGGCCTGGGCTATCAACAGAATCATTGGGTATGCTAAAAGCTTTCATGTTTTAAGAAATGTTGGCACACAAATATCTTGAACTTGCTCTAATAAAAATAGTTATTACACTACTTTATTGCACTGGAAATATTCTGGAGTGGAAAATGTAATTCAATGTCTCGTACAAGGATATCCCAGTTTGTGGGCCCTGCATGTATACCCAGATTGTAGAAGGGAAAAGCATTCTTATACAGACTACTTTTCTTGAGCAAATCCCTAACATTCAAAGACAAGTTTTGAAAGATTGTGTCAATTAAGTATTCTTATTTCTTCAGTAAGAATATTTTCATTATTGTCATAAATGGACTTGTTCATAATCTGAGCATATATTTCATTCAATGTTTCCGATGTCTGCAAAATATGTGACATCACACCTCTATTGTGTACATTTAATACACAAGAGTGCTAAATGCCTTCATTACTAGACATTTAGCCTTACAAATTCCCACAATTTCCTGCAGAGTTCTTTCTTACAATAAATCTTTGTCCAGAGGGTTTATCTACTAGCTAATGTATTGCAATACAAGTCATCTCTGATTCTATTTTCATTGTCCAATATAGGGGTTGCAAATGGCCGGCACCTCCTGTTTTGGAATAATAATAATAATAGCTCACATTTATAATGCGCCTAATACTTTGTTTATGGGGGCAGCACATATTATTACCCCGTCATCGAATTCAGGCTTACCCGCAAACAATGTATGCACATTTTCCGCTCCCTGGGGAATATTCCAACCAGTCACAATTTTACAAGCGCCACTTGCTAATCCAACCACATTAACTTTCGCATCCTACTGGGTACCCATTTAACACCTGGGTGGAGAGTGGCAAATGTACATCAATGTCTTGCCGAAGAACATATAGTGCCGCGGCGTGACTTGAACCGCAGACCTTGTGATCCACAGTCCAGTGACATATCCACTCGACCACAACACCATGTACACTGATAAAAACTAATGTAAATATTTTGAAAACACAAACAGAGTAACACATCTTGCCGGACTATACATGCAACTACGACTTCCCAGTTAGGAGCGCCGGGGAGAGCCGTTGGAGGCTCGCTGGAAGAGGCGTGACCGACGCGTTGACGATGTCGGAGGCGTAGCAGTAAGCGAAGCCCTCACTCTGGGTGCAGGTGGTGAGGTTGTGGTCGATGATCATGGTGACGATGCCGGAGATGATGATGATGACCCCCATGAGGGCGATGAGGAGGGAGGGGAGCTTGTCTCGGCCGTAGATGGAGCCTTCCGCCACTCGTAGGTAGCACAGCGATGGAATGCAGATGAGAGGTACGGCACAGATCACCCCCTATATACAAGATGCAGGAAATGGAATATATGATGAAGTGTAGCATCTGCTCTAGTCCATCATTGTAGATAATCAATAATATTAATATTAATAATAATTAAAAAAAATATTATTAATAATAATATTGATAATAATATTAATAATAATAACAATAGTAATAACAATAACACTAATGATAATAATAATTTTAAAAATTTGGACACACAGTGCACACCTCATTATACATATAATTTGTGCATATAAATCCTGTATGACTTTCAAACAACCCCTAAATGAAACAAATCTATTCCTTCCACAATTAAAATGGACATTTTCAGTACAGAGCAAAAAGGACCGACAGGCAGAAAGATAATATCACAGAGTTGCCAATTTTTACAATCTGAGACACCATTACTTTCGATTTTTCAATTCAATCTGTCTCCCTCATTTTTTCTGCTTTTATTAAAACCAACTACACTAAATATAAGGGTGGACTTGGAGGAAGAGTTGTCAGTATGCTGGAACAGTTTCATCTTTGACGTGCCGCGCAGAGTAATGCAATTCGTTCTGAACTCAAGCATTGACACACTCCCAACCAAATCAAACCTTGTACGTTGGGGCAAAAACGTCTCCGATAAATGTGACCTATGTGGAAACCGTGAAACTTTGTTGCACGTCCTGAACTATTGTAACGTGCAACTCACCCAAGGCCGATACACTTGGAGACATGATAATGTACTTAACGTCATACACACTGCCCTCACCAAGACAAAAGCAACAGTAAACGATACACCCAACCCCGAAATAATAGTAGATCTCAATCAGCCCAATGCCCATGCATCCTCAACTATCCCACGAGAAGTAATACCAACAACTGACCGACCCGATCTAGTTCTCTACTGGCCCAACGAAAAGAAACTGCTCATCTTTGAACTAACTGTCCCATTCGACCTTAATATTTCCAAGGCCCATGAGTATAAATGTAATAAATATGCCCCCCTGATTCATGACATTTCGGCCCGCAATTTTGATGTATCCCTTATAGCATTCGAAGTCGGGAGTCGCGGTCTACTAACTAACCACAACTTTCAGTCACTTAAATCACTAATCAAAATGGCTAACGCAAACGTAACCGCCAAAACCCTGTCAAATCAAATTTCAAAAATGGCTGTAGTGTCATCATTTTCAATCTTCCATGCAAGACAAGACCCAGCATGGACATTACCTCCACTCCTCCAATAACAGCCTATAGATGTGAAAAATACGTGTAGGAACCAGGAGGACACGAATATAACAGCTGAATGTTAGATATTGATATATACTGATAAAATTATATAGTTTGAAGTCTATGACTGAATTGAAATTGGAAAGTATATTTTGTGTCAATTTTTATCAAATCAATTACTAAATAATGAAATTCGATGCTACAATTGTATTTGTCAACTACCAAAATATATACTTGGACATTAATTCTTTTAACAACAACAAACAAATCAGTGATTTTAAATTTAATCGAGTTTATCATCAATTGTAAACTATGAATAAACTATAAGTGTAAACTATGCAATGTACCTTTTATAGCAACTCAAATGTGTGATTATTTAGAAGCAAATGACCAAAATTTTTACTACAAAATTCATGAGAACTCTTTAAATAATGATAAGTCAACTTTTATAACAAATGTGTGTATAATACGATACAGCTTATTCTCCGTGAGATGCAATCAAGAAATCTGTTGTAAATTCATTCTCTCCGTCTCTCTCCTTTGCTATGTCTCTCTTCCTCCCTTTTCCCACTTCATCCTCCTTCTCCGCTAAGTTTTACCATTACGTTCTACATTACATAAATATTATTATATTTTTAGATTGAACGAACCCCATAATTAATTTTTCATATTATAACTGATACTTCTGACTGCTAATGATCTTAGAACAAGTATATATGTTTGTATGTATATGTTTACATGTTAGGCCCTGCCTGAGTAATGTCAACGTCCTGGGCCTCGATTTTCACATCTTTATAATATGTCTATTCACTATGTGAAGGAAAGATTCCTTGTTATCTTATTTTGTATTGTTATATTGTTACATTGTATATGCTTTTCTATGGAAATAAATACTACTATACCGCTTTCGCGAATATGGGTCAGTGTGAGCCCTGGGGGGTGTTTCACAAAGATCCCAAGTCAAAATTAACTTTACGTTGGACTGAAATATTATGGAGAGCCATATCTAGCCATAAAATAAAATATATTCAAAAGCGAAAATTCAAATATTTAGACTTTTTATCAATTCCACACATCAAGAACATGAAATCTCCTTGAAATATGAATGATTTGAATAAAAATGTATGCCTTTTTTAAATAGCTGTTACAAAATATTTTCATAGATGCTAAGGGCTTTCCATAATTGTTAAGTCCAACTTAGAGATAAGTTCAACTTGGGATCTTTGTGAAACACCCCCAGGGCTTCAGAGAGGAATGGTTTCTTACGTTGACAGCGAGGACCAATCCAAGGCAGGATGTGCTCATGGAGACCCCTAGAACAAGACCGACGATGATGAGGGTAAGAATGAGATGCCTCTGGAGTGGCTGCGGTGAATCTACCCATCCTTGACGGACCATCACGTTCTCTATTACCTGTGGGTTCAATGGGAATATTGAGTTAAAGGCATCGTTTAACAATGTTAAATTTGAGATGGGTGGCCCTACCTGTTATCAGTGTCTGTGATATGGTGTAATATTGAAGCCCAACAAAAAAAGTGCCTCAAAAAGTAAAAAGCTTTGAGAGACGGGTTTTACCATACTCATTTTTCTCAAAAGACTGTACTGTTATAAAAACCGTTAGGAAAACGAATTGTGAAATTTCTAATCTTGATAATCAGACAGGTGATTGGCTTGTAAAAAGTCATGGGATTCATTAATGACCTAAATTTATAATTATGATTGCAGCATGAGCTAAATCCAGGATTTTTGTAAGAATTTGATGCAAAATTACCCTTTAAAGGATGAATGTCAACTGTAGGAATGCACTCTGTAGTCATCATCATCTGCATCAATCATCATCATCAATCATCATCATTCAATCATCATCATTCAATCATCATCATAAATAACATTAAGACTTTCATTAATTTCTCTTCCATGTCCTCCTCCTCCTTATCATCATATCATGGTAATCATAATTTTCGCCATCATCATCAATATCATTATCACCAGGATTACCATCATTATCACCACCATCATTATTATGACCATCACTAACACCATCACCATCAACACTATCATCACCACCATGGCAACACCATCATCACCATCAGGCGTAAGAAAAAGATGTTGTATTGCATTTCGCGACCGACCCAAAAATCTTGAAATCTATGGTGGGCTTTTTTGTTAAGTTTTATTTTTTATTTACCGTTCTTCAGAAGAAAAAAAAGTTTAATAAACAAACAAATTATGTATTTAGGCAAAAACTGAGAAATGTCAGCCCAAAGAGAGAAGAAAAAAAGATTTCCGACCAACCAACCCATGTTTTGGCACTTAAAGGGCAATACAACATCTTTTTTAGGCCTCATCACGACCACTATCATCTCCACTATGATAACTCAGTAATGGAAATTCCTATAACCCCCAAATCTAATTCTGAAGAAGGAGAAAATCTTCTCGTCAAGTTTTTTGACTTACCTCTCTGCACACAAAACATTCCAGAGGGAAGGTGCACATGATGGTTATAGCAAATAACACCCTTGCAATGTTCACCAAGACATCATTGTAGCAGTAATTCTCCAGTAAGTCACCTGGCAAAATGAAAATACAACAAAATGAATCACAAATTGAAACTTAATCTTCAGTAGAACTGTCATAGTGATTGATTTAATGTAGAGGTGCACTGATTTTAAATATTTATGTAGTTTGTATCATTGTGTAAGGGAAGGTTTGATCGAACAAGGTTATCAAAATCCTTGCTTGGAAACATTCTAAGTAACGATCATTATCATATTATGACACATATTTTGGTTTTCATAGATATGCATATCATATAAAGATTTATAAAAGATCTGTAACACACACCTGGGCACCATTTCACAAAACTTGTCATCGGTGACAAATGAAAGTTTTTGTTATAAGCTACTGAACAGTCAACTGTCAACAGATTTGTCACTGATTTTTGTCATTTGTCATTGAAAAACAGCTTTGTGAAACAGGGGCCCTGTTCATTTTGAGTGTACCGTACTCACCCTGCGTATGACCGGTGAACGTTACGTAACCACATATCCCAATGATGGCACACATGATGAAAGCACCGAAGACCGATATGTGCGTGACCTTCGCCCATTTGCTGCTGTTGGCTTGCTCCATGGAGTCGTACACCAGGAAGGAATTGTGCTGACAGATAAATGCTACAGGATGCATGAGAGAAAGAAGAACAAGAAAGAAAAGATAAATGACTGAGTCCTGAGCAACCTGAATATATTGTTATAAATTGTGTTGTCTAGGTGAAACAGATATTTCACAAGTAATTTAACATTTGTACGAATGGCAAACATTCACAGATCATTATTACTTGATGCATATTTTTCTTTAAATCTGATATCAATCGCATCTCTGTACTAACAAGATGATGCAATTTATATCGATTGCAAATATCTCTAATATATTCATAACTCTTTTATATACATGTAAGACAGGACACATCACATCCCCTTTATAGCTTAGAACAGTTTAAATGATTGATACAAATAAATAAAAGGGCACCAAACAGAGAAATATACGGATACATAGTCTTTACATTATATCTCTTTACTTATACCTTTGCAATGTAAATGTATTCAACAAAGAAAGGAGTTCAAATATTTGCTTGATCTATGAAATTCCTTGGTTCATATGCAAATATGAACAACTTTACGATCAAATACACTTTATCCATTTGAAGATCCAAACAAACTAGACTGCAAGAGCAGCTTACGCAAATAGATTTTTTCGCATGGCCCAGATGAGAGATATGAAATATTTCGTACCATGACAAGAGGACACACAAATAATTGACAACACAGGGTCTCTCTTTCACACAGGTGTTGTAGCACCTTCTCACTTTAACCCTTTGCTTACGGGAACCTGGTGGTCCCTGTGTTAAGGCGAGGCATCAAAAATAAATATACCAGCCAGCGGCAGCTAACTGCACTTGTGCGTCCTGGCTGCATTTTTTAAATTAGCTCAGTCGGCTACCGCTGGCGGTAGGCAATGGCATTCAAAAGCATGCGCCGGCTGCCGCCTTTCGAATGGAAACCAAGCCTCAGATCTCAGCCTGGCGCAAGCCGGCTGGGCTAATAAGTGAAAAATAATTGCCCCAGCCAGGCTTCGGCCGTAATTGCAGCCTCGATGCGCCAATACGTGAGGCGGCAGCCTGCTGGTATCAATATTTTTGATGCCTCGCCTAAGCCTATGGGACCTATGAAATTCAGTAGTCAACGGGTTAAAGCCTGTCTGCACTAGTTTGGCCAGGAGGGATTAGACCTCCCTGCATAGTCACTGACAGGTGGTTATCTCATCAACTCAGCTCTCAATTGACATAAGAAAAGAGGATCATGGGGGACCAACGGGTACCGCTAAGGCATTTTTAGCTATATAGAGGGCGCAAGTAGCTATAAATAGTGCAGTCCTGTTTAAAGTATGATACTATATCTAAAATAGCAAATATATCTTCTGGAAAAGAATTTATATAAATTAACTTTCCCTTTGATAAGTGATTGGTTGAGGTCTAGTGGATGGGTCTTCAATAGGAACCATACATGGGTTCAAATACCTACCATGGCACTACTGTCCTTTGGAAAGATGTGATTCATCATTATCATCATCATCCTCTGTGTCATTTTCTTCATCATCATCATCATCTCAACCATCACCATCACCACCATCCCCACTATCATCATCACCATATATTCCATCATCATCATCATCATCATCATCATCATCATCATCATCATCATCATCATCATTATCCTCCTCCTCCTCCTCATCAACATCATTGTCATCATTGTTACCACTTTCATCACCTTCACCACCACCATCATCATCATTGCCATCATTGCTATCATTACCATTATCATCATCATGATTGTCATCATCTACTTACCAAACATGATGATGCCTATGCTTTCAAAGAAAGTAGATTTGCCAAAGACCCAAGCATTTTCTGTGGGTTGTCTGTGTATGACAACATTGAAGAAAATTAATAACAGAAGTACAATTCCACAGACTTTGAAAGGCTATTTCAACATCCTTGTGCATCACTTTTGGAGTGTGTGGACACTACATGCACATTGACATGTTACATAATCTGAATATGATTTCCACAGGCAATATATAACAGGTTATTGAAAGTTGCCTGAATATGGTTACTTGAAAATCTGTGTGACAATATTCAGAATGTTTTTAGCATGTATACATTAAAGTACTACTTGATAATAATGATGAAAATAAATGTTGAATATTCTGTCCAAAAATTCAACGGAAGCAGGATTACAAAGGCCTAATAGTAACAATTGCAGAGGATTTCTCAGAAAAAACTCGTTCAGTTTTTAATACCTATGATTCGGATCATATCATTATATGTGACCCGCTACGGCAAAACCCGACGCTTCTCGGCAAATCCCATTGTGCTGTAGGCCCGTTTGAACATGAAATTTCGAATTTAGGGATCAACTGAGATTTTTGCATGATCAGAAAGTCTATTTTTTATAAATTGATTTAGAGAAAAAATGAACTCAAAAAACGATCTAGAAGTATTTTTAATTATATTTTGTATCTAATCATGTGCTCCATTGTCCAGTGAAATTAGTTGAAACAATGCGGTCAAAAGAAGGGAAAGTTCGCGATTCATCGCTTGTTGTTTTCCCTCTCAGTTGACCACGTTTGAGTCGATCCCTGACGTATTTGGTACGAAAATAACGAGTAAGGATCGGTTATTCCAAATATGGTTATATTGGGCGGTCCTAAATAAAATTGCCCAATGAAAAATGCCATGAAAGATGACATCATTTCGATGAGCTGTCAAGCAGGCCGTAAACAAATGCCTGTTGCCAGCCACGTGATCCAAATCCAGACACTTGATTCGCCAATATTCGCACATGACGTCATTGCCTTGTTGTTGTGATTGCTCAGCGGTCAAATTCTCGCATCGAAACACCAGCTTTTTTCTTCGAAAACTTGTTCAGAAGTTTGTTTTTAATGAGCTAGAGTTTCATATATCAAGTAAAATACGTGTATTCATCGAGTGGCTAGAACAATGTCGAGGAAAAAGAGGAATTTAACGGATAAAACCGTCGCTTCTTTGTTGAATGATGCATCGGCGTGCGGTATGCCGTGCATGGCTTGACCGAACACCTGGCTGACTACTTCGCGAACCCGACCGGGCCGAGCCCCCGGCCGCTGGCGAGAGAGGAACTCCTTCGTCTCCTAGCTCCGACTCTGATTCTGGTAGGTTTATTAATATTATCATTATTAAAAAGGTATTCAAGTTACTTAGTTAGGTCTACGCCCATATTATTTATTAAAGACTTGTTTCGCCAAAATGTTCGAGCAACAAAAGCTAGATTAGACATTTTAAGTGCACTATTATTTAAATTAAAATTTATTATTAAATTAGATTATGATTTATGAAGCATCTCATACCTATAGTATACAAAAATCTCTGCGGAGTCTAGACTACTTGTTGATATTAGTTTTTGAATCTCTATTTTATAATTATACTTAACAGAGTCTGATGAGTTCGAGGAGGCAGGTCCATGACCAGCAGAGCCATGTGAAAGCGGCGATGAAAGCGATTGCGTCGATGAGGCAGATGCATGCAGAGGAGCCTATGGATTTGTCAAGTGACAATGAAAGCGTCATACTGGGACCGGGTCCTGTCATTGATGACGAGGAGGAGGCGGCAGCAGCTACAAATCTGGCCCAACAAATACATGTAGATCTTGATCTGGAACCGCTGAAGGACCGCGTGAATAAATGCAACTGCCGTATCTTCAATCGAAGACGCTGTATCAAACAATTCTCTGTAGCCGAACAAGAGTCCATAAGGTATAATTGGATCTGTCACTATTTACTTGTATTTCTTTATAATAATGTCTAAGGACTGGATGTTTATGTACAAGCTGCAGTTTAATGCAAAATATACTTACATTTATTCTAAGCTAATTATATTTTCTCCTATTTTGCAGCATTAATCAGTAGACCCTAACGTATGCTTTAAAAAAAATACTTCACCACTAAACTGTACCAAGCATAATAAATATTATAATTGAGATCCTTAGGAAAACGTTGCAAAGCTCTGTCCAAATTTCAAGTGTTTTAATGAAATGAAATTTGCTACAATACATTTACTCTTTTCTTCTTCCAAGTCAACCAACTTTTACTTTATTGTGAGCTGGTGTTTTCCATTTGAGAATGATCTACTATTGTAGTGTAACAAAAAATATTTACTTTGTAAAGAAAAATAGTAGATGCGAAAATTTGACTAATCAGGAGATTTTTGTTTCGTTTTGCTTTTTCCCTCATGTCTGCAGGTCAATGTTCCTGAAGAACAGAAGACAGAGGCACTCAGGAGGCAGGAGGAGCATCTTCTACAGGACAGCCTGTCAAGCCTTACAGGCAGTCGCGATAGAGCTCTCCATCAAGAAGCTAGGGAAGAAGACTGCGAACTCCAAGCCTGTAGTTTTTCATTACAGATTCGACTTTGCACAGCAAGTGCATTATCCAGTTGACCCCCAACAACCTGGCCCTTCGTATTTCCGTACACAAAGAAAGTGCCACATCTTTGGCATGTCTTATCCTATGTACATACTATTGATCTCTTCGGCTGTGAATTTTGTATGAAACAAGATAACTCAAGAGATTCGAAACTGTTCATCATTAATTCTTGGGCACTAATGCATAATAGTTTATGATTAGTGTAGTCACTAGTCAGATTGCATTTGTTATGGGATTCGTTATTGTTTTTTCTTTACTTTGATAATGAAAGAATATATTTTATATCTGATACTGATTGACTGAAATTAATATTTTTGCATTATTAATCTCTATCTCAAGAAGACAACAGCTCTGTCAAATGGTCTCAACTGTTACTTTATTGTACATTCCTAAATGAACCAGGATATTTTTACAATACATGTATTATAGGTTATCTGTTGTCGAGTGACTTACACGATATCTTTTTTTTTCTCAAATAGTCTTGATTAAGACTAATGCTTTATATCATAGCCTTTATTAAATATGACAAAATATCAATCATTTTGAACTCGCTTTATTTGTTCCAGTAATTATCATTTGAAAAATAGATTCTGACGGGTTTCAAGTTCAACGCAATTCGTTATTTCACTTTATTGCAATCTTATTTTTAATATATTTTTTTAAAATCATTTTTATTACATCTGGTTTTGTAATAGGCCTATTATTAAGCATAAATTTTAAGAAAATGCACTATTACATTTTATTATTGCAACATTGATGTAACCTGCTACTATTTTGTGTACAAGAACAAATTCTGTACTGATGAAACATAATAAACCGTGGAATCGTTTTCCCATCAACTTTGCCTAGGATAACAAAAACTTTGAAATTCTTTTGTTTTCTATTGTTTTTAAAAATTATCATAACTTTATTAATATTTTTCCAAATCTAATGGTTTTAACAGAAATGTAAGTTGGGTATGTGTCTAGTATGCCTGTAAAATAACAAGACTTTAGCTTGTTTGGTTGATGCCGTTGCTATGAAGTGAATGTATGCATGTTTTTTGTGTGAAAATTGAACCAAATTCTTAACTTTAAACCTCAATATCTCATAATCAACTTCCGGTGATTGAAATCACAAAAATCACAATAACTTTGTCAAATTTCAATCAATTTTTTTAAATGAGGTATCATCTTAAAGGTCATACTTTACTCTTTCCAATGATACCAAGAACTCAATTTTTATTTTTACCATGAAGTGTTGGGTTTTGCCATAGCAGGTCACATATATACATATCAAATCCTTGCTAATCTTTAGTGGATAACTTTCAGATCATTAATAATTTATTGTTTATCCAATGAATGGCAGTCATTTTCATTCACATTTTCAGGATGTACTTTCTGACATAATACTTTCTTGACCCTGCCAAATGTTAAATAGTACTTTTAACACTAACATACCTCTAGAAAAAGGCCACCTTACAATTTGAATATTTCTTCACCCGGGGGACAGGGCATAATTCAGCAGCTACAAAATGTAAATACAGTGCACCAAGAGTAAGCAATAAGAAAGATTCAAGTGATATGACCTTTAGATCAAGTTTCTGTACACTAAATTTCTTTGGCAATATAAGCACTTAAGACTACAAAAAAATATGTGTTCCTTCTGAAGTTGCCCCTCTTTGGTAAAGGGGAGGGGCATGGCGTTTTTGTCCCTCCCCCCACCCCCCCCCCCCCCCCCCCCCCCCCTCTCCCCACTCAAACCGTCTTAGGCTTTTTATGTTAAGGCAATGAAATGAAAATCTATACTCACACATGCATTGTTGACAATCTAACGATGACGATGACCATTATAAACAGGAGTAATACCAGTGATAATACAGCAGCCTGCAAAAAATAATAAATACAATATATAGATATCAATTGAGGAAGAGTTAGAGGGTTGATTGGCAGGTATCGTTATAGAGAAAGAGAGATAGACAGCGAAACAGACAGAGAGGAAGAGAAAGAGAGAGAGAAAAAGAGAAAAGAGAGAGAGAGAGAGACAGAGAAAAAGACAGAGAGAAAGAGACAGATGGGAGAAAATGTAATGGGAGGTAATTTGAATTTCAAAGACTGACAGAAAGACAGAAATGTGATCTTCAATGTGAGCTAGAAAATAAAAAAATCACACATTTTCAATACATATTAAATAAATTCTTTTTCAAGGATGGGAAGCAAGACAGAATGAAAAAATGTAATACATCACAACAGGATAACTAATTATATTCTTGAAAACATTGTACCTTATGAGTGTAGAATTTATATTTCAATCTGACTCTGAACTTAAACAAGATTCAAACAGGCATGTGTTATTTCTAATTTATAATAAACTGATACTGTATTTTGTACCTGTTGTATTTGTTTTATTGGGAGTGAAATAGACCATTTGTTATAGACATCACCATTTGAGTAACATATCCTTTTTCTTTAAAACAAAAAGTGCCACTTACCAAGTTTATAAACATACTACAAGAACAGCAAATGCTATATCATGCATGATTTTGTTGTTGGTCTTTATCAATGATTGATATCAAAATATAACTCAAAATTTCACGTGTCTGTTTGAATTTTACAAGAACTGCAACTTTTTCTAGAAAAATCGGACACACAGTTGCACACTGTAATATAGAACTGTAATATTAAATAACAAAATATATTTCTTACCTTTACTAATTTTGTTACATTTTTGTACATGGAAACAGGTAGGTTGAATAACACGGTAACAATGCTGATCACGAAATAGCGGTTGGCAAGAACGTTTGTTTCTGTTAGGATGAAAACAAAGAGAAAGGGAGTGATAAGGTATATGCAGATATGAGAATGAGAGAATGAGAGAGGAAGAGAGAGAGGAAGAGAGAGGAGAGAGAGGAAGAGAGAGGAGAGAGAGATGGAGAGAGAGAGGGGAAGAGGAGGAGAGAGGTAAAAGAGTAGGGAGAGAATAAGAGAGATAGGGAGAGAGGGAGAGAGAGAGAGAGAGAGGGGAGGGCAAAAGAGACGCACAAAGAGGTAGGAGAGAGGAAGAGAGAGTGAGAAAATAAGATAGAAAGAAAAATAAAACATGAATGATTAAAAGAGATATAATAGAGAGGAAGAAGAACATAATTAAACAAATAATAAACTGTTTACATATTATTTAGAGTGATTAAATATTTGATTCCTGAGAAATAGATACAAAATTCTTTCTGGAGAAGAAAAGGTGATTTCAAGAATATCATATTTCCAAACATATTCTCCCAATATACAAAACACAATCTCTTAACACAATTCATGTAATAACACAGGTGCATGGAGTAATATACTGTACACTAACATACACCTTTTCTTCGTGCCTTTCAGGCTAGTGCAATGCAGTACAGTGCAGCCAGTCCTTGGGCATATTGTAATTACACATCGTCGATGGAAACAACATTTTCATTAGCTGCACAATACAGCGATTGTAAAGACACCTGCCTCCATATCTGGAAGGTAGATTGCTAGCTGAAATCCGCAAAGGTCATTTTCATACCCCACCTTCAAAATAAAAATTTACGCACAAGAGATACACTTTGCCAGTTACAAAGCTTCATGAATCATGTGATATTGCATACAATTTTGCCCTTAAAAATATTCCAATAAACAGTTATTCGTCAGTGAAAATAAGAGGAAGTGCTACTATGTTGTTATTGTTGTATCAATTTTTATAACCTTGAAAATATGCTCATTTTTATTGTTACAGCCATTTGCCTCAATAATGAAACAATAACAAAATGTAAGTACAGTACTTGCATATACCAATCCTTCCCACAACTTCAAAACCGAATGTTTTCCTTTCCTTCTATAATAAATCTTTCATTTCAAAGAAGATTTTAAAGATATTTAAATCAAACACTGCTAATGTACAACTGAATATGAAGCTAAAAAATTGAAATAAATAATGTCTATATCTTCAATCGTCAAGTGTTTCAGTTGGAGCTCCTTTTTATAAGAGAATATCCATTTATTTTCTTCCACGTCAGACAGAACTACTTTTATAATCTGTTGCTCATGACTACATCTTGTAGGTGATTTTCAAAGTCAGGGAAAGTTGGCAGAGAGCCAAACTATATTCTTCATCTTTCAACAGGATGTAATCCACAACAAATATAATCAATATCTTTTATGAAAGAGAGGTAATATACAAACAAGTTATTTTAGAAGCCATGAAAAATTGATATCAACAAGAAATCTACATACAAGAAATGTCCAAGCCCCACAAAGATATGTAATAAACAAGAAAATAACCTTCCAGGAATTTAAAGCCCTACAATGAACTGATATCAACAAGAAACTAACACAACCAGAATCCAGCATAGGTAGCTGTAATTAACATGAAACAATTTTGTTTACTGGTAAAATACTGACATGTTCTGTTATTTGTCTGTCCTTCATTTAAATATTTTGTCACGTTTACTATCAATTTTTTAGTACAATATTATAAATGCGTCCTCATAATTTGAACCTAAATTTTCTACTCCCTGTCAATTTTGGTGAATGTACTGTATGCTTTTATATACTTTTTTAATGCAACTATGTACTATTGTATGTATCAGTCTTTAGATCGTTTTTAACGACGATATATTTTTTTTATCAGTAAAATAAAATGACTTGTTTTTTCAGTAGGCATGAGGTTAATTCTATTGTATAATAACAGACACTGTGTTGTTGCATTCAGGGATGATATATAAATTGTGTACAAATATAACAAATCTCTTCTTACCTGCTATCATGCTTGCAAAGACCTTAGTGATTGTGTCTCCTATAATGATGTTATATCCAATCATGGCTGAAAGAAAAGGAGAAAATGAAAGATTCACTTTAATAAAGTACCTTTACATTTCCTCACACAAAGTGGACATAATTTAATGCTGTCTCTGGAAAGGGGGCCAGAGACATCATCACACTATTTTGAATTGGGGGTGGTGTGTGGTGTCAGACCAGCTGTGCATGCTCCTAAATCTGCTAGTGCATTGCAAGATGAAAGGCTTACGAGACCAAATCTTTGGTCTTGTATCTTTAGTCAAATCAAATTGGCATACTTTGAATCACCAGGGCATCGTGTCTGGAAGGGTGGTCATGTTACACAACGTTTCGCTAAACAAAAACAGAATATCACGTGACCTTTTCGTAGATTTGCCGTTGGGTTCTGAACCAGTCGGGTAAATTGAACCAGACCATTTGTAGATTAGAGGGCTTTATTTCACAAACATTACCCCTGACATTTCGTGAACTAAGGAGCAAGTTTTCATAAAAGGTCACCTTACAACGTGATGCCCTGATGATTAGAAATAAGCCAATTAAATGGGCGCTTTAGCACCAACTTCAAAGTACATGATACATGGAAACCCATTTTATGTCATTAACTCGTTACCTATAAATGGGTAGATGAACTGAACAATAGAAAGCACGTAATAGCCTGGTATTCCTAATGCTGATTCCGTCATTTCGGCATAAGTCCTAGTTCCGGTGAGCTCTCCAATCGTTATCATTAGCCGAAGGGAGTAATCTGGAAAGGAAAAAAAGAAATTTAGAAAACTGCTGTAAGCATACCAATCACCTAAACAAATAATTTCTGTATAACTAGAATATATAAAATCAACCTATATTAAACTACCTGGCATTTGACAGGTTAATATTTAGGGAGTATGGTACTTTGGTAAGTATAAAATATGTTTTGCTCCACGTGTTTAATAGTGAAATTAATACAAAAAATATTAATGTAAGAGGGAAATTGAACTCCTAAATTTCATACAATTAATAATAATAACATGGAATGTCTTTTCTTTTGTGAGATATAATGTGACACAAATGTTTGATGTGGTAAAAAATACACCGGACTTGCCTTTAAACATTTTAACAGAGATCTGTTACAAATAGGAACATACCGGTACCGGTAAGTAAAATACGAAAACCAAATCGAGACGAGAATCATTCTTTCTTCCTTATTGGTTAGACATATAAAATTCACTTGAACTAAAACATTAATCTTCATATATAGCTGACAATATGTATTAATAAAACAGGCTTTAATGAAAAATCATTGAATGAAAAGAAAATTGTGATTGTTAAAGTAAAATTGATCAAACAAGGAGAGCCTAAAAACATCACTAGGCCTGTCATCATCAGCTTGAGTTTGCCAAATAATCCGCTATTTTTAGACTCAGGATATTATCCCAAAGCTCAAAATTGCATTTTCACCAGACCGATATGCTCATCACAAACTGGCTCGGACAGGTGCAAATTAGCCTGCTATTTCCCAAATAGCAGGATACTTTGTAAACAAGACCAAAATTTCTCAGGATATTTTATCGACCAAATATCCTGCTAATTCCAACTGCGGGCTGATGAAGACGCAAATTAACTGGCTAATTTTCTGATCGGGATAGTTAAAATAGCGGGTTATTTGGCAAACTCAAGCTGATAAAGACGGGCCTTTTGTCCTCCTCTGGAGAGGGGGGGGGGGGGGGGGGGGCTACTCTAGGGGATTTTGTTTTTACCTGTTATTCCACAAATGACCACTAGTAAAATGAGACCAAGGGGAAGTCCTGCTTTCATGAAAGCGTATGGAATACCTGCAGCAACAACAAAAGATCAAGAAAGAAGGAAACAGAATATAATATAAACACATATAGAAAATGAACACACAAGTAAGCAAATGAATTAAAAAATATATATATATATAATATATATAATAAAATGAATAAAATAATGAACAGATCACTCAATTTTTAAATAACAGTATGTCTTTTTGAAATGAACACATCTTTGTTCATTATTTTGTTTTTAAAAAAGTGTGAAATCAAATTTCATGTCTGTTGGGCTTTATTTCCATTTGCAAAACAGTCAAGATGTAATTCACTACCCCTTTTTTGGCACATTATCAAAGCTCACACTTACGTTATTTCAGCTAAATAATAGTTTAACTCACTCGGGGACATACAAAAAGAAATACTGCTAAATGAATTAATAAATCAGTTAATTACTAACAAAATGAATTAATAAGTGAATGATTTTTTTAAAACATATTAATATATATTAGTAGGTGAACAAATGAATAGGTAAAATACATAAATAATGATATGAAAACATAACTAAATAAATAAACAAATGAATAAATAACTGAATACAATCAAATTGAGATTAATTAATAGTAGAAGGTTATACAAGGAAGGAGGAAGACTTACAAATATTAGCAAGATAATACAAGAAAACTCAATTTATTTATTTTAAATGGACTAATGTTTTCACATCTTGATTAGATGACAGTTAGCTATTTGTAAAAAGAAATAACTCATGATTAATAATATAAAATCTTAAACTATCCGTATATTACATGTACATTATTACAAGTTTTAGTTCTATATTACGGATCACATAATTTGAAGTTGAATCCCCTTCAATGTAGCACATGAATTACTCTATGAGAGTGGACTCCACTATTTTGAGAGTGAATGTTCTCTCAAAAATGAAGTCGTCAGTAACATGATTCCCCCAATGAACCTGCATTCAATCAGCAGATGTATGAGATTTATTGTATTATTACCAACGCTTCTTCTCTCCCCTTTCCTTTTCTTCTCTGCAAGTCACTCTTTTTTATTTTTTATTTGTATTGTTATATCTAAGTTGAGGGCTGCGGGCACATCAAGCTACTTTGCTTATTTCTGTAGCCCTCCTGCATCTAATGTATGTTAATTATGCATTCAATATATTTGTTTAATATCATTTATTATCTGTATAAAATTATATACACTTGAAATATTGTATCAAGCCATATTATGTTCATGAAAATGTATGATGAAAAAAAGAAAAAAGATGCAGAAACCAATAAATCAAATCAAATCAAATCAAAACTAAATTATTCATACCCTTAACAATTTATTTTCCTAATTTATGTTTCTGGAGAATGTGAAGTATGGAAGCTTACATCTAACAGTATTCAACAAATGCCCTTATTCAACCAATCTACCTTTATTCTAAAGTTACAAAAACACAAAAGCATCTAATTTACAAAGGGAATGAATAGTTTAGCTGTAAACTGTACATTTAGCGATTATTTAACCATCAGAGGTAGAAGACGCGTCCCGAATGCAAAATGCATCGTAGTTTGCAGTGTTTGCTAAATAAAAGTTCTTTTTTACATAACCGATATTGAAGGTGTAGCTAAAATGAGCCTCATCAAGATGGTATGGATGCATTTACTAGCTCCATATCTTAATGAGTAGGTTCTACCTCTGCCTGATAAAAGCATGATTTTCAGCAATTATGCAGTTTTTGTTCCGGACACGTCTTCTTGCGCTGTCACATTTCGCTAAGCTTCCTTAGTAGCTTATATTCATAAATTTGACAGTGTGGATTAGTTGGTCAGATACAGAGAATATATAGGATATGACACAATGAGGGTAATGAATATATGCTTACTTTGCTGATAGATTTACAAATACTGATGAACCATAAAATCCCATTTATTGAAAGAATGATACCGATAATTACAGTGTACATAACATGGTAACAAATAAAACACTTTCAAAACTTACACAACCAAGAAAGACAGAATCATTTCACTGGGATTTTACTTGTTCATCAACCCCTAGAAATACTGTGTATCTTTACGTAAAGACTGTACACCGGGGGATAGAGCATTTTCTCATTCTGGTCCGTCCCTTTGGAATAAGCTGCCACTTAGTATTCGTAATTTAACTACCCTTCATGCCTTCAAAGTTGCTCTAAAAACCCATCTCTTTCTAAACAGTGCAATTTAATCATGTCAATGTAGCGTAATAATTTGTGTTGTTTTAGTTTACTTTATTTTAGTTAAGAAAGTTATATTTTTGTGATAGTAATACATGTATGTACAGCGCCATGAGCGTCAGAGCCTGGCAGATACCTGCGCTATATAAATATCCATATTATTATTATTATAAATGTACATAAATCACAACTGTTGAAAAGCCAAACAGTTGTTAGTAAAGTAGTGAATATGCTTCATAAACAGGAAAGGAATTGTGATATCACACTAGAACAAACATGTTGCGTTTAATGTTTCAAACTTGCTATTTTAAAAAATACATAGAACAGCATTGAAAATTGGCCTTTATAGGCATGCAGTGAATTAAATGTTCTCAATTAAACTTGCTCTTGTCATTTTCACATCTACCAGAAAGATTTGAAGGTGAATGGTGGAAAGTATAAGAAAAAAAGGATTACGAAACCCTGACAATGTTGACCCAATCAAAATTAATAATTTTATAATCAAAGAGAGGGAGATAGACACAGAGAGATAGCGAGAGAGGGAGAGAGAGAGAGAGATGGAGAGGGAGTAACTGACAGAGAGAAAGAGAGAATAGGAAAGAGAGCGAGAAGGGAATAAGACATGCAGATACAGATCCACAGACATATGCAGGAAGACAGAACAAGAAAAAAATTAGTATAAGTAAGTGGGAGAGAAAGAGAAGAAATAGATGGTAAATGGGGTTAAAAAAAGGAAGACAGACATTAAACTGACAAAGAAAGAGAGGGAGAGAGAGGGAGAGAGAGAAAGAGACAGGTAGCAACAGAAAATGTGATACATAGTATAAAAACAACAAACATATATGTTACATGCAGCGTTCATAGCAAAAGGAAAGAGAAGGCAAGTGATGGATGGAGAGGGCATGCAGTAAATAAACAAAAAATATATATATACAACATGTATTCACACAACAAGATAGAAAATTAAAATGAAGGAATATGATGCACAAACATACAGAGATATATCAACAAAGATACCTATAGATGGATGACAACAGGTATAACAAATAATAAGAGAGAGAGAGAGAGGATAAGAAATGTAGACAAACACAGAGAGTGATGGAATAAGGATGAGTTGCAGTTGCAATTGCATGGCTTCTTGGCAGAAAAGGGGACCAAAGGAAGAGTCAGAAGGAGAAAGAGAGAGAGAGAGAGAGATAGAGAAAAGAAAGAAAGAGAAAGAGAGAGAGAGAGAGAAAAAGAAAGAAAGAGAAAGAGAGAGAGATACTGAATAAAGGTCCTGAGAGAGAGAGATAATGCACATGCTTCAACAGTTACAATACTGTAGAAAAGCAAAATCAAAAAAGGGATATTTTCTGATCCTATCACAATCAACTTTTATTACAATTTAAACAAAAAATGCCAAAGTTGAGCATATAAATGCATGAAAGTTGGTCGGGCATATAATAACTCTTCATGTTGGGCAATTTTTGTAACCCCTCTCCCCTTATTTGCCACAAGAATGTTAACTTCGTGGTACAAGGCCGTTTACATATTCAGCAAAGGAGAGGGGAGGCAGGAAATGCTTTTACATGTAATTGGGGTGTAACCACACCCATCCTCAGACCCATTCTCCTTCCCAAACTTTTGACTAGGAAATGATCACATGATTTAGTATACATTCCACAGGAACAGTCCAGTACGAAACATGTCAGAGATATTGTACATTGGTTCTACAATGCATGCTATGATGATAATTGTTCCAAGGTCAATTTCATATATATATCCTATTCTTTAAGAAACACTATCCTTGATCTGAAACCTTATCCTAACCTCAAACCTAACGACAATGGCGGACAATCCTAACCTAAACCCATTTATTGACCAAAGAGACCTTATCCTAACCTTAAACCTAACGACAATGGCGGACAATCCTAACCTAAACCCATTTATTGACCAAAGAGACCTTATCCTAACCTTAAAGGTAATACAAAGTTTTGGGAAATTTTGAAAATTGGGTAGATAGTGATTCTTTACAATTTGTATATAATTGGATGCCCCCTGTGGATGTATTATAAGCACCAAAAATATTAGCCCCTAAAACACTTCTGCTTTCGAGAAAAATTGAACATAAAAATTTACTGGTGCTCCCGGTAAATTTTGATAAATTTAAAATAGTGCCTACAGCCGTACAATGGTAGCTGCGACCCTGAGAATTTCAGAATATGTAGTTGTAATATATTATTACCAAACGGGGAATAGCTTATTGGTCAATTTTAGTCAAGATACATTGTTTCAGGGTTTATTAATATCTTGACCTTGAGAGGGAGCTATACAACATAAATAGTTTAATGTTCATAATTTCATAACTTTAGACTCGATTTCAACCGCGACAACGATCACTGAATATAGTAGGATCGCATATGCTTCCAATATGTTCATTTGAACCAAATTCATGACCCCATACCAAAACTTTGTATTACCTTTAAACCTAATGACAATGGCGGTCAATCATAACCTAAACCCATTTATTGACCAAAGAGACCTTATCCTAACCTTAAACCTAATGACAATGGCAGACAATCATAACCTAAACCCATTTATTGACTAATGAAACCTTATCCTAGCCTTAAACCTAACAACAATGGCGGACAATCGAAACCTAAACCCATTTATTGACCAAAGAAACTTGCAGGGCATATCGCTGGGGAAAGACAGAGTGACTTTTTACTATATATACACGCAACTAATGTACTTTTCTGGATAGGGAGGGGGTGGCCCTGGAAAAGGGCTGGGGGGGGGGGACCTCGGCCAAGTAGCAATGGGTTACACATACTGTAGACACAATAATCACAGACAGAATTTGAAAGTATATTTTGCATTACCCATAATAACAACAGAACAGCCTTTAAATAAAGTAAAAAAGATAATGAGAAAAAGAGAAAGAGATATAAAATATATAAGATCTGTGTCAAACGATTTTGAAATGAAAATAATAAAAAAAATAAGAAATAAGATAATAATATCATTCAGTGACTCACATTAATTCATATATAAAATATGGATAAATGCTCTTACCAAAATAGTAAATTATACATGTATAATTATGTTCTATTTATAAACAAATCATATTTATATACAGTGTGAGTCAAAAAAAAGTTTACACCTAGAAAATTGCTAATTATTTTAAAAATCATCTATGAACAGTAAATGATTATACATCCTATGAAAGAGTGTTTTATCCCAAATCATTTGGTTTCTTTTTGTGTGGTATGTGTTCACGCTTGGATGAACACGAGGCATTGTTTGCGAGAGTGCAAAAAATCGATTTGCGCCAAAGTTGCTTGTGTGATGTTTGAATAAAACAATTGGGATTTGGGTATTAATTCGGTCTTTGCAGATCCAAATAACACCTCTAACAAATTTAATCATGCCACACATATCAAATATCAAGGTACATTTGTGCGCGTGTGTGTGTGAATTTGCTCCTGCAAAAAGCATATCCAATGTATTTCATTAATAAATTCAATTCATTCTCTCACTCCGCTAATCCCAACATAATACATGCTGTAGGCATCACTTTGGCGCAAGTCGATTTTTGCACTCTCGCAAACAATGCCTCATGTTCATTCAAGCGTAAACACATACCACACAAAAATGATACCAAACTATTTGGGATAAAACACTCTTTCATAAGATGCATAATACTTTACTGTTCATATATGATTTTAAAAATAATTAGCAATTTTCTAGATGTAAACTTTTTTTTTACTCACACTGTATAGGAAAGCTACTAAAAAAATTCTTTCTCAAGATTAAATTCCTAATAAATTCAATCAAAAATTGACTGTGTATAGCCCTTGCAGCAAATTAACTCTCTTTGTGCTTTTTCGCCAATTGGCAAAAAAGTACTCTAAATAACAGTACTCTAAATATAAAAGGCATAACTCACATAAACTTGCTGAAAATCATTTTCAATAAAAACCACAACTCTCATTTGCACATAGTAACCTGTGTTAGGCACATGGCCTCGGGCCTACTAACCTCAAGCTTAAGAACTGAAGCTCATCTTTATTTAATATGGGTTAATACCCTTCTGGCTCTGAATACACGATGCAATACAATTATATTAATCATGAATGGTATCCACCATGCATATGCCTTCTGGCATGTTAATGTGTCAGAGAGTAACTTTTGTTCAGAAGTATGTACAAAACATAAAAACGGTGATAAGCTGTTCTATCAAATAGTCTGTTGAGAGCCAGATGAGTATTTTACCTGGAAATAGATTAAAACCCACCTCCGCACTGTAAATGCCACAAGATGCATCATCATAAAAAGCTAATTTAAGCCGTACTTCAGTCATTCAGTGCCTACTCTAGCAGTTTAATTACACTGCGCTATCAAGTATGCTCATCATTAGTATTTACATTGTCATTGATAATGCCTAGATATAAAATATTTATATTAGTTCTTAGCAGAATGAGACATTTCAGAAGTCATCAAATTAAGAGATAACCTATCAATGATTCATGAACCTAGGATACTGTTGATGGAGTTGCCTGCTCCATTTATCCCAATGACACCCTTTTTGAGATGTACACCAGCATTTTACACTTCTTTATGATCCAAAATAAAGGCTTGTAACACATTTTTTACAGGGACCACTTAGTGTTTCAGGGAATGAGACAATTTTGTAGTTGATGAGTTTAATAAAAGATGACCTGGCTATGATTCCTGGACCAAGGATACTGTAAGTGGTGTTGAGGTTTGCTCAGATATCCTGATCCTGATCTTGTTTTAACAAACAAGATATTAATCATTCCTGATTCTCTAACAATGTCCACTAGTAATTCAAACTTTTTACTAATGTGAAATAAAGGCATTTAACCCATTAGGAACTGGATAGTTCCCCAAGGAATGACACAATTTAGAATTCAACAGGTTACTGGACAACCAACCAATGATTTCTGATCCTAAGATACTGTTGGTGGAGTTAAGGCTGTTTCCCAATATCCCACTGCTGACATCCTTTTCAGAAGGACACCAGCAACTTACATTACTTTCTGATAAAAAAGAAGAAATATTAAACCAGTCTACTGAAACTGTTGGTTCTTGTATAAAGCCTAATGCAATGAGATAATTCAGAAGGCAACACATTATAGGGTAACATACCAATGATTCCTGATCCTAAGATACTGTTCGTGGTTTTAAGGCTTTTTCCCAATATCCCACTGCTGACACCCTTTTTCAGAAGAACACCAGCAATTTACATTACTTTCTGATAAAAAGAAAAGAAATATTTGACCACCTTTCTACTGAAACTGGGTGGTTCTTTTGTATTAAGCCTAATGCAATGAGATAATTCAGAAGGCAACACGTTATAGGGACCAATGATTCCTGATCCTAAGATACTATTGGTGGTTTTAAGGCTTTTTCCCAATATCCCACTGCTGACATCCTTTTTCAAAAGAACACCAGCAACTTACATTACTTTCTGATAAAAAAGAAGAAATATTAAACCAGTCTACTGAAACTGTTGGTTCTTGTATAAAGCCTAATGCAATGAGATAATTCAGAAGGCAACACGTTATAGGGTAACATACCAATGATTCCTGATCCTAAGATACTGTTGGTGGTTTTAAGGCTTTTTCCCAATATCCCACTGCTGACACCATTTTTCAGAAGAACACCCGCAATTTACATTACTCTTTGATAAAAAGAAAAGAAATACTCAACAACCTGTCTACTGAGACCAGACGGTTCTTGTATTAAGCCTAATGCAATGAGACAATTCAAAAGTCAACACGTTATTGGATAGCCTACCAATGATTCCTGATCCTAAGATACTGTTGGTAGTGTTAAGGCTTGCTCCGGATATTCCACTCATGGCATCTCTATTTTCCCCCTCCTTCTCCTCCTGGATGTTCACTGGCTTCCCATCAGCAGTAGCTTCGGCGTCCACCAGCCCCGCCTTGTCATGGGTGGGTACCTCATACGGGATGGGCTGCAAAAGATATTGAAAATATGTACAGTTGTATCTAAAAAGGATGTGAATTATGTGGTCTCTTGTGGACAAGTCAGTGGACTGTGGTTCACATGGTGCAAGTCCCACCATGGCACAAATGTCCTTTGGCAAGACATTAATCTACATTTGCCAATTTCCACCAAGATGTAGTAGATGGGAACCTGGTAGGAATTTAGTTCTTGAAATTGTTTATTATTGTTATTATCAAATGAAATCCAAGGACAAGAGATTGCCAGAACAACTTTGCTCTTCCTTGAATGTATGCATTTTCTGAATCTAGGAATAGCATGCTCTGGTAGCTAGAGCCCCTCTCCAGTGGCATCATATATTGTACATAGAGGATTGGCTGCAAAAGAACAGGGGGGGGGGGGGGGGGTGTTTCACAAAGATTCCAAGTCGAACTTAGCTCTAATTTGGACATTAAAATTATGGAGAGCCATTTGTAGCCTTAAAATAAAATATATTCAAAAGCGAAAAATCAAGTATTTTAGACTTTTTATAAATTCCACTTCAAGAACATGACATCTCCTTGATAATAGAAAATATGAATAATTTGAATCAACATTTTATGCCTTTAAAAATAACTTTTACAAAACATTTTCAAATATGCTAACAGCTTTCCATAATTATTAAGTCCAACTTAGAGATAAGTTCAACTTCGGATCTTTGTGAAACACCCCGCAGGACGAATAAAACAAGTAATTAAATTTGATGTGAACCATCAATTACATACCACCAAGAGATTGACGGAACTTCTCTTATTGTTCGAGTATGAGCACTTTCTAAAAGTAGGAATTTCAAGCTTTCTAATGGTGTTTAACTACCTCTGGCAACCCCTCACAAGGGGCATCAGATTGTACTAGCCCTGCTTCATGAGGCTTACTACGAATCATCATGTCATCACGTCTGGTCGGGTGGTCGTGTTACACGACCTTTCATGAAACGAAAGCGCTAGATCATGTGAAGATGCACGGTAAGGACTCAGCCCTTCGTAGATTTGCTGTAGGATTTTTACAAAGTGCTAAGTAAATTGGACCAGACCACTTGTAGATGATTCAGGTTTATTTCACCAACATCGTGGATAGGTACCGGTACCTCACCGACTATTGACAGCAAAAGACAAAAGCATATGTAATATTTAAAGTAAGAACATACGTCACCAGCCAACTATAAACCACAAGATTCTTACTGTTTTGTCTTCTGTATTATCTGAAACTAAGAATTTTCAGGTTTTATATTACATGTAAGAATTACAGTGTTATGTATCAACAAGTCTGCAATAAGTTGCCATAATTCCTATTTTTTATTTTGTGTGTATTCTTAAACTAAGAATTCCAAGCTTTCATAAATTGTCTCCCCCCTCCCCTCTCTCTTTCACAAAGTCATGTATCCACCCCAACAGTATACCGTCATCTCCTTAATCTCATAACAATCCTGGGAGCAATCAGCCATTCTGAGATCCTGCGTGGAATTAAATGTCAAAGCTGATCAGCATTTTCTGTAGTTCATAGACCTGCAAATAAGGAGATCATGCCATGGAAAATGGAATTATAAATATCGCTGGGGAAATCAATTCTCGACGAGACAGAAAAATGTTCTCCTTCTTTCCATTTACCTGGCTCCTACCTCCATCTATATATTCAATTTACATTTATATTTGATTTATATTTTTCCTTGTATAGGCAAGTCTCATCTCTATTTTCTGATGCGCTCCTACAGTTGTGATAATAATGCTATCAGAAGAAAAGAATACGATTTTTCTTTTTTCTTTCAAGAATGGTATAAGTACACAGCATATCAATGAAGTACTGATGAAAAAGCATGACAGTAGAGAGGAAAAATCATTACAAAGCAATTGAATTTGATTACATTTAAAAATGTTATTGATTTGTATGCTAATGCAGTAACTGGTAGACGAATGAAATGATAAACCCCCGATGAGCCATCATTTTAATCAATTGCATTCAGCAAAGCTCTATTAAAGATGCCGCCAAATGAACCAGTTAGGCTGAAAATGCATGAATTAGATTTTGAGAGGAAAATCATTTAGTGAGCCTATATCTAATTTCTTTTCCTTCTTAAGTTAATTAAATCAAACATACCCATTTTGGGGTAATGCATTATGATATGTTTCCTACTAAATATTTCAAACTGTGAATCATTTGCTGTTTTCGCCTTTGACTACTTTCAAATTTGTTTACTTGCAGTTCATGCATTCTACTTTATTTTCCTTTTTAAAGCCTTCATGTCAGTTTTTACGTTGAATTGTCGACAAAAATTAATGATGCAATTCCTTCCTCACCTCTTCTTTGATCTCCCTCAATTCTCCATCTTTGTTTCTCTCTCCCGCACGTTCTCTCTATCCCTCCCAAAACTCATCTTCATTTTATCCACTAAATTAATGCTATATTAACATGATCACAAAAGCTATTGAGAAAGCCTATCTGCACTAGTTGGCCAGGGGGGATTAGACCTCCCTGCAGGGTCACAGACAGGTGGTTATCTCATCTAATCAACTCTCAATTAACATAAGAAAAAGGGGACCATGATATAGGGGACCAATAGTCACCGATTAAGCATTGTTCGCTATATAGAGGGCGCAAGTAGCTATAAGTAGTGCAGTGGGGCTTTAAGAGAATAGTTTCAACACCTTATTTTGTATCCCATATAAATGATGTTTGGATTACATATGTCATGGCAAGGATTAGCACCTTTCAATAAGTGATGAAAAAGGCTATTGGAATTGCGAGGTTGCTTTTTAAGTCTTTGAGAGTGTGTTTATGTCATATTCGGAACACTGTGCATAAACGTATTTTCCACTCTTCGCTACTGGGATTTTTTAGTTCTAAATAGACTTACAAAATTACCAAGCTCAATTGTCTACTTCTTATTCTGTATTCCTATAGAGGATACTGATGCTCATATAATACTTACATGAAATGTATACATCACATAAATGTAAAAATAGCAATTTCAAGGACATACTGGTGAATTGTCATTGCTTGTGTAAATATTTGGGCACTCATTTTCTCTCAAATAATCTCCTCCAATTATATTCCTGAGTTATGAAATGGCTTTTAACTGTCCGTAGATCTAAAGTGATTTCACTCTGAAAATAAAAGGGCTCTGTGAAAAACCTAAAAGAGATCAAGAGAGAGAGGAAGAGAGAGAGAGAGAGAGGAAGAGAGAGAGAGAGAGAGATAGAGAGAGAGAGATAGAGAAAGAGAGAGAGATAGAGAAAGAGAGAGAGAGAGAGAGAGAGAGAACAGACAGACAGGCAGAGAGGGAGAGAGAAAGAAAGAGAAAGAGACCCAATGAAGAAAAAAAAATCCTGTTCAAGAATTTTAAAATGATTTCCTATTATTCAAAAAATATTTTCAATGTAGGCTTTCCTTGAATCAATACAACTGGGTAGAATGTTTTGTATGTTTCATGTATGGTAATCATCTGTCAGCATACACACGATCGATCGCTTCATACTTGCAGGAAATTATGAAAAAATGTACATTTCATATTATAAGAATATCAAGGTTAATAATCCTTTTGCTTACATGTATATTTGGTCAGCCTGTGATCACACTTTTAAACCATCTTCATTAAAGTGTAAAGTGCTGGTATTTCTCTGACCACTTATTTGATTGAAAAAATAATTCCCACTGAATAAATACCACTATAGAAGGTGACACGACATTTGCTCCTGCGACAATTGCTCCGGGCTTTATTTCGTCTAAGATGTAGGGTTAGGGTTAGGGTTTCAATAGGGTTTTATGTTAGGTTTAGGGTTAGGTTTAGGGTAGGGTATAGTGTTGAATCCAGGGTTGAAGTTAGCCATTCGATTAATGTATGAAATTTACAGCGGAGCAATTGTCGCCGGAGCAAATGTCATGGAATCCTATAGAAAGATGAATTTGTCATAAGTTATACATAAAGAACCAATCATAAACTTTGATAATGGAATTGATAATGGAATTTGAAAGCAGTAATGCATTGTTTTTCACACACGACTGTATGGATTGGTATTTTTAAGTACCAGGATAAAAAAACAAAAAAAAAACTTAATGGACAAGTTCAGTGAAGACCACACCTTATTAAAAAATAGTGTGAATATAAATAGTCAACCACTATATTTTTCATTTCTTACCAAGTTTTGTAATTTTGTAAATATGTGGACAAAATGATTTGTCTCAATTTGTCTTTCTTAAAAATGTACACATACAGTCAAACCTGTATAAAGACCACCCAAGGAAGACAGGAAAAGTGGTCTTTATAGGCAGGTGTTCTTTATGTACAGGTTCCTTTAGTACATGTTTCAATGAGAAACCATTTTCAGGGGGGATGTGGTCTTTGTAGACAGGTGGTCACTAAAGCAGGCTTGACTGTATACAATTTTACATCTAAAAGTATTCAACAAAGATATAATTCAACCAGTCAAACTTCCATGCCTCTTTTGACTACATTACACAATGCAGAATGTCAAAGTGCAACTTTTTTACAAAATTATGCGTTCTTAAAAGAGACACATCAAAGATCCCCCAACAGCACGTCTAAATCATCTCATAGAAATGCTGAATAGCATCACACCTTAGAATACTGGTGTATTTTTAGCAAAATATTCAATGCAGAGACTGCAAAATCATATACATGAGGAGCTTAGTACATAAAACATGGGAGTCTCAACCATGCACCTCTAGGCCTGTCTTCATCAGCTCGAGTTTGCCAAATAACTCGCTATTTTTAGTCTCGGGATATTATCTCGAAACACGAAATTACGTCTTCCCCCGACCGATACGCTCATCACAAACTACCTTGGACAGGCGCAAATTAGCCCGCTATTTCCCAAATAGCGTGATATATTGGAAACAAGACCTAAGATTTCTCTGATTCTTTCTCGACCAAATATCCTGCTAACTGCAACTGCGGGCTGATGAAGACGCAGAATAACTAGTCAATTTGCGATTGGGATAGTTAAAATAGCGGGT